GATTTTTTATGTTTGTTATTTAAAAACCATATTATATCCTCGATTTGTTACTAACTTACTAATACTAGTATTTTTTAATACCGTTCTCTTTTAGTATGGGTAACCAGATCCTACTGCATTCTGCCGAAGAATTTGTGATACAATTGGTCCCATTTAGCATAATTAGAGTCGCTTCTTTAATTTCTCTGTTTTTACTAGCCGTTTCTTTAAGGACTATACTTGAATCATTCCATTGAACCCTATGTTTATTATCATATGCGTATTTACATAATTATTTGAGATCCATTAAATTCTCTGTTTTTAACATAAGATTGATGTTCACTTATCCTCATATTTATCAAGATCATTGAATATGTCCCTTTTTTTTAATTTAACCTTAAAAAATGCATTGGAGGGGCGTAGGAAATTTCGACACTAAGCAGGTAGCGACTAAAATTTAAAGGCAACTTTCGACACCAGCCCCAATTCCCGTTTTTATCTTAAAGGTATATTCGACACCAAATAAATATAGCTGCGACATAAATAAAATACCATAATTAATTTATTTATTTTAATAAAAGTAATGTGCATTTTATTTCTTTATAACTGTAATAATATCTAAAAAATAATACAACTAGTACCTAATTTTTGTACATTTTACCGTTAATATAGGTACTTGTATACAATGATTTATTTGCTATTATAGGAATGATAAGGTACAGCTTTTATAAAATCTAACCTACGTATTTGTTGGGATCGTAATTTATCCATCATTTTCTCAAAAAATGCCAATTTAGCCTTAAAAGTAGTATCTTTGATTTTTGCTGGTATATGTAAACTATTTATTTTGACATAAGTGTCTACTTGAAATTCTTTTAACTTTTCAATAAAAATAAAAATAGAAGGATGTGTTGAATAAAAAGAAGAATTAAATCTCGAATGAAAGGATTCACAGGAATTTGTGGTCCTCGCAATAGACGGATACTGATTAGACCATATGTGTGGTGGAAATAGAGCGCTATCGAAAATGTAATTTTCCAGTAAATAATCTGCATATATATCAAGTGTTGCGTTTATAGGTTTATATGACATTAAATCATAAAGAAAGCATTCTTCAACTTCTGCTGGATTTAAATAAGTTAAACCAAACGTATGCCTTAACCATTTTCCAATTTCTGAATTTGTATCCTTATATTCTTGTACCAAACCCAAAGATTGAATTTTTTTAAACCAGTTTTGGTGTAAGTGAAAACGGCATTCACTAATTTTTGCATTGTGCCACATATACAATAAAGCACAGTGAATTGCTTTTTTAAAGTCCAGAAATATTTCAGTTGGCTCTAATGATAATTGAAATGTTTCAAAAATCTTAGACCTTAATAAAGAAAATAAATTTTTGTATGTCATTGACAATTTGTCCTTTAACAAACAGTATGCTAAAGAAACATAATGTCCATTTTCCAAGCCATGTATAGTAAATAATTGTATTTACTATGTAATAGAAAATATTTGGTACTGTATGAAAATGTACCATCCATATACAAAGTTTTTAATTTACACAACAAACAAATATTTGTCTCGCATGAATATACAATTACATTTAATTCAGGATGATTTAAAAACAAAAAACTTTCATTGCGACAGGTTTTAGGAGAATAATTACTAACCGCGTTATGGACTTCTGATATGCTTCTTGGTAACGGACCTGGTAACAGTTTACGACGACAGTTGTAAATGTTCTTTCTTATGCTAGCTATGTCAGGAACCGTCAGCAAATTGGCATCACACTCAGCAATAGCAGTTCTTGTAATTTTGGCAGGCTTTTCCGATATGTCCTCTTGGGCTTTTCTTTTACATGCATTGGTTACCATCTTTACTTCAAGCTTTTTTGGATCGGCTTCATAATTATGTAATTATTGTGCTATTGTAAACACTTTTGCGGAACACTTAGTGTTTCTTTGGATGCAGCGCCAAAATATCTCGCCGCTTTTTAACACTTTCTGTTTCGAGAACGAATGATGCTCCACCACTAATAAATCTCGACCACGGGAACTTTTTATCAAACTCATTTTTTAAATATCCGTATACGTGCACAAGTCAACGTCAAACAAGAAATAAATTACAACTGAAATAATTTAGTTACAAGTACACAAGTGCCACGTCCCCCGCCGTGACAATAAATATTGGGAAAACCCGCTTGTCCTGCTTGGGTACAAATGTCCATCGCTGCTAATTACCTACCTACCTGCTTGACGCTGCGGTGTCAAAATTTCCTATAATAAAATTTGACCCTTCGATTACCCCAGGTACAAAGACAATTTGGTGTCGAAAGTTCACCCGCCGCATTGGAGTAGCTCGTATCTGCCTTGATTTCTCATTATATATCCCAAGTACTGCAGCTTACAACCCTTCACGATGTTGACCAAATCCGCGGTTGTGTTCATCTTGCGCAGTACTTCTTCATTGGTGACTTTGTCTGTCCATGGTATCTTCAGGATCCTTCTGTATAACCATAGCTCAAAAGCCTGAAGTTTTTATAAAGTTTCCGCCTTTAATGTACACGTTTCTACGCCGTAAAGAAACACTGAGTACACGTAACATTTAAGGAGCCTTATTTTTGTTTCTAGGGTGAGGTCATGGATCTTGAACACAGAGCTTATAGTCAAGAATGCACTTTTTGCCTTTTCGGCGCGATATTTAATCTCTTGGGTATTGTCCCATGACTCATTGATTGTAGTTCCCAAGCAGTTGTACTGTGAGACACGGTCAATTCTCATTTGGTTCACATACACGACATATACGATTGACTAAGGGTTTAAAAATGCTAAATAAAAAACTGGCTGAAGATAGATGAAGTTGAAATATGAAAAAGAAGCCTGTGTTCGGTAGTGAACTTTCGAGGAGTCCAGTTTCTTGTTTTAAAGTGCGCTCTTCTCTTCTCTGTCTTCGACTGTTCTTATTAGTTGTTCAATATTTAGTACTGTCCATTGTCGGATGTATATTAGCCACGATAGTCTTTTCGTTACTAGTACTCTCTTTGCTTGGACTATTAGTTGAGCATATTGTGACTTATGCATAATCCATAATATCTATGCATATTATGAATAACCAATAGTCTATAAAATATATTGCATAATTTTGCTACATATAACCAATGAACCTATATTACACGCACATTTTATTAAATTATCGGGCCAAAATCACCAGATTTTTTTCATCAATTAGCTTTAATCACTTACTTAATATTTGATCTGGACCACAAGATTTATCGGTTTTCATTATTCTAATTGCATTAATAACCCAAAATTGTTCATAGAATATCATTATGTCCATTGTTTTCAAGTATTTTCTCTGTTACGAATTGAGCTGGAGTCTATTACAAGTTACAAATAATTATAAATTAAATACTTATTATGACTCTACAAGATAGCGTTGGTGATACAAATGAATAGATAAATTTAAAATAGGTAAAGAAATAATAAATAAGATATACTCACAATCAATTTAATTTAACTATCAGACGACAGGTTTCGCTTTCTACAATATGTAAAGCATCTACAGGTCTCGTTACAAAGTTAAATAAATGCTGAAATGATAAAAACCCATATTAGGGTGTTGTCTAATCAAGATAAACAAAGTAGATGTTGGAAATTACAGTAATTATGCCAATATTACATATCTGTGGTTTTATTTCAAAAAGAGAAAGTTGAATAAAAAGGTGTAAAAAGTTTTAAAAGTTTAAACAGACAAGGTAAGGCCCACAAATTGTTATAAAATAGTCTATTAGATTGTAATAAATTAATAAATGAGCAAATAAATAAACATTACTTACATGCCGGTACTCTATTAATTGATGGATGGTAGAACATGGTTGAAACTACTATGTATTGTTGAATGAAGAACTCAATTCTGCTATTGTAGTTGTATGACAGTAAACGGGAAGTTCTTGAGGAGATAGATTTGATCCAATGAAGCAGAGATATGTGTGTGATTGTTTGTTAAATGAAAGTGATGTAATATACCATTGTATTATTAAAAGTTATTTATACTTATTCGAGAGATATATTTATGAAATGTGTGATATTTATAAATATATAAATATATCTCTCGAATAAGTATAAATAACTTTTAATAATACAATGGTATATTACATCACTTTCATTTAACAAACAATCACACAAATATCTCTGCTTCATTGGATCAAATCTATCTCCTCAAAAGGGTTGTACTGTCATACAACTACAATAGCAGAATTGAGTTCTCCATTCAACATACACTACATAGTAGTTTCAACCATGTTCTACCATCCATCAATTAATAGAGTACCGGCATGTAAGTAATGTTTATTTATTTGCTTATTTATTCATTTATTACAATCTAATAGACTATTTTATAACAATTTGTGGGCCTTACCTTGTCTGTTTAAACTTTTAAAACTTTTTATACCTTTTTATTCAACTTTCTCTTTTTGAAATCAAACCACAGACATGTAGTATTGGCATAATTATTGTAATTTTCAACATCTACTTTGTTTATCTTGATTAGACAACACCCTAATATGGGTTTTTATCATTTCAGCATTTATTTAACTTTGTATCGAGACCTGAAGATGCTTTACATATTGTAGAAAGCGAAACCGGTCGTCTGATAGTTAAATTAAATGGATTGGGAGTAAGTCTTATTTATTATTTATTTACCTATTTGAAATGGACTCACACAAGCAACACATTCATGATTTAGATAAATTTAAGTTAAAGGTGCGATAAAACAACAAAGTTATAATGGTTGTAATAAACAATCAAAACATCGTCCAAAGGTATTAGAAAACTATTCAAGTTAAATTACGAGTCTTGTTCGGTGGACACTCATGCTCATCGATTTCAAAATGCCTTTTGATCGACAGAAATCGAATGGTCAAGAGAAAATGAAAAATGTCTCGATTAATTCATACAACTATAATTAAAATTAAACATCCTCTATGGATTCACTTCATTAACGTAACTTTATTTTACTATTTTCAGCACTTTTTGAACAAATAAAGAAAGGTATCGAAGAAATAAAATCTTTAAATAAAGCTTCAGTCCTATTTGAAACAGCTATTAAAGAATATAACATTCCAAACATATTTTCATCATCACCAGACAATTTTGATAAAGAAGAGGTATGTTCGGCATGTCTCTCCATTTCTGATTTGTTAATCCAAAAAAGGCGAGAAGGTTTAAAGGACGCAGACTTTCACAAGCAACTTATATATTTCTGCAATCTAATCAGCGGCCAAAATGAACGAATTTGTGAAGGTCTCATAAAATTAAATGCAGTGAGTACTTCTTTTTGTTTGAACTGAACTTATTAAAATATAAAAAATAATTTAAAACAAAATGTAATGTAAATTATTAACAATATTTATTTTTAGCCAATCTTGCTTTATGTTATTGACAATACACCAGAATTAACTGGACAGGACATTTGTGGCATATCTCTTCAAGAGTATGGTTGTAATGGATCTAAACGACTTGAATGGACTATTGATATACCACCAAAAACCAACATTAAACAAAATGAAACACCGGTAAATATATTTAAATCATAGAAAGTGATAGCTTTGTGTGTTATATTATGTTCTGAATATTAATGTTTTAATTCAAAATAATTTTTTAGGCAACTAAAAATACAACTTCATTCAACATCCTTCATATCTCAGATATCCATTATGATCCAAGATATACCACAAACAAAACTACCAAATGTGGTGAACCAATTTGCTGTCAAGATGACCAAGCGGATGGTACAACCGAAAACGATACTTGTGGGTATTGGGGTAGTTATACCAATTCAGATATACCGTGGAGGACTGCAGTTAATGCCTTAGAACAAACTAAATTACATGTAAGTCACTGGCATTTTATTTAAATATATTATGTATGTATTACATTAACATGTATAACATATACATGATTTTATCAAAATAACGAGGAAACTAAGTATACAAACAGTAATGCAGTTCTACGCGAATTAATGAAATCATGGCTGTTGTTGGGAATTTATCTATATTTTACAGTCAGCAATTGCCGGATTCTGGGTTTGTAGTTTACTGTTTTTATTTGCAAAAACAACTCAAATTCCTACAATATATCAATGGCGTCACGACAAAAAGGCATAAGCGCCAAAATTTCTAAATTTATGTTTTGGTATCAAAATAAAATACATTTTACGTCCTATCTACTATTAAAAAGACGCAGCTGTAAAAAATTGCAACTCAACTAAAACAAGCTTTAAATTTTCTAACCGCCAAACGAGTTTCTTAAAAGATGAGACACCAAATGGTAAGCGACAAGATCCGTATTGAAATATGTTGCTTACGATTTGGGTCTGAAAACGTGGTTATATCAATAAGGTAAACACTAAATTGGAATTAATAATTATATTAAATGTTTTGTTAAGCGTTTAGGTAGATTATCTATCTTGAGAAATCATAATATACCATAAGAATCTACAATTTTACCGACTGTCGGTTACGCCTTTTCCAAAAAAAATTTTTCGTTTATCTAAGCGCCAGATGGCCATTTAAAATACACTATGACTTAAATTTGCCATAGAAAAGTTACTCATTAACCGACTTAAATAAGGTTTAAACCTAAAAAAATTTGTATATTTACTCTGTTGCATAGTCTTCTTTTTTTAATTCTAAAGTTATATTTTGGTAGTAATATTATTTTAAAAAACTAACATTTGAATGACGCCTACTTCTCTTTTTTAATGGTTTTTATAATGGTTTCTCGGGGACACAAAATAATAAATCTTGCATTGCAATCCATTTTGGAGAATCAGAAAAGCAATGTGCGGGAATCCAGCAGAAATAATAAAAACCATCGTTCATTTTCCACTGAAAATGAGGTCCTCAATGAAGCGCTAAAGCATGGTGTTCTTTTAGAGCCTATACTTAAAGACTATAAGCAAGAACTTTAAATGCCCAGTTCTGTTCTAGATGATGATGCCATTGTGAATATTGGCAGTCATTTATTTTCGAATATTGATGAGACTGCCGAAGAAGAGACAATTTATTACCTGTGATTAAAAGCTTGTACCTTACTCAGATAGTGATGATACTGATGATAGTAATAATAAAGCCGCAATAGCATTTAGTTCATTAGTTGATGATAAGATAGGTTGTAATGATTTTATACAACATAATGATTCTTTAAACTCCGAATCAGATTCATCATCCTTGACAGTATTTCTTAAAAGTGAGACTGAAATTGACTGCATTACTTCTAGCTCATCAACTGGTTCAATTTCTAGTTAAACATCAGGTAGTTCATCTCAAAGCACTCAACGTGAAGGCAGAGGACAAAGGAGAAAAAAATGGAAAGTAATTTATTACATCATTGAAAGTTACTTAACTTGGGGAACATTACTGTAATTATAAAAACGAACGCGTTGCTGAAAAAGTTTTGCTTCCTAATCCATGTTTAGGCAAAAAATTTGTCAATAAATGTAATAGCTTTAGCACTGAGGACAGAAATAGTATTTTTAAAAAATGTCATACCTGTAAAGAGAAAAAGAACAGTTTCTGATTCACGTCGTAATCTAACTTAACAATACTTTCTTTTGAAAAATAATGTACAAAAACGGGTTTGCTTACAATTCTTTAAAAATACGCCAAATATTAGTCAAAAATTCGTACGGTATGCTATGAAAGGAAAAATTGAAGTTAACCGAGAGAATAGGGGGAAATATGAATCTAAACATAAAATTACTCCAGAACAAATATTTAAAGATTTTATTGAGGGTCTTCCTGCTGTCCCCTCGCACTACTGTCGAGGGTCGACTAAAAAATTGTATTTACCAGCAGATACTAAAAGCATTTCAAATCTTTATAGAATGTACACCACAAAAATGAATGAAAATAATGGCATCCCCTTTAAAATATTTACTTTTAAAAAGTACTTCAATAAAGATTATAACATTGGTATTCAGGTACCTAGAAAGGATAAAGGTTTTACATACAAAATAGTACGTTTTAATATTTTTTGTTGCTTTTTGTATACTCTGTCAGTTTATTTTCTTGTTATACTTAATATAACGGGATAATTATATTGACTTAATTTTTGTATGATATTTTTTTACACCAATATAACTCTAAGAAACTCCTAAATATATTCTGTATTGTTTATTTTGTATTATTTTTACTTAATTGTTATGCTTTAAAATGAAAAAAATTATTCTCCATTTTTGTTATAATTCCGTAAAAGTAAAAGGCGTACAAGATCCTAAGCGACATTTTTTGATCAAAATATTTTTTTCCAAATATGTTAACCGCCTTTCAAAGAGCCTTAAACGTCACAGAAACTAACATTAAAGGCGTAAGCACCAAAATGTTGAATATCTCATGTTTATAATAATTGTTTTATAACTAACATATGGTAAGACAAAATGCCTGAGTTCAATAATAATAAAATGCAAAAAAAATGTAAAAAAATAAATATTAAGCGATATTAAACGTTTTTTGTGTCTCCTGAAAAAAACTGTCAATGGCGCTTATGCCTTTCTGTCGTGACACCGTCGATATTATATTAACAATATAAAAAAACCAATTAATTCCCATTACTTACTGTTCTCTTGCTGTCTGCTAAAATATTTCAATTTCGCCCTAATCGATGACAGTTTGTTTTCAGTAGCTGTTTGAATATCTAGAACTAATTGGAATAGATGATAAAGATCTAAGATTTTACAACATCTATATTAGAATAAAGAAGCTTCTATTCTGGTAGACGGCAATGAAACAGACAAAATTTGTATTTAAAGAGATGTTAGACTGGGTTGTGTGTTGTCCCCAACTTTGATTAATATTTACTTAGAAATAATTTTTAGTAAAGCCTTGGAAGGGCAATGTGGAGTTCAAATCGGGGGAGAAATTATTAATAACATCAGATAGGCAAATGACAAGTCAATCATGGCTGAAAGTATCAAATATCTTCAATGACTTAGTCGATAGATCGAGTCACCAGAGAATGTTCTAATAACGGACTAAGCATAAATACAACAAAGACAAAGTAACTTGCGGTTAGCAAACAAGACCTTGGCGCTATACAACTAATTGTTAATAATAAACCGATAACAAAAGTTAACCATTTTAGATATCTAGGATGTTGGATAAACGAGACACTAAATCTGGATGAAGAAATTAAAACTCATATAGAAATTGCAAGAGGAGCATTTTGAAACTTAGATCTATTCTGAGCAATTCTCAGCTGAACTTACAGCTGAGAATTAAGTTCCTAAAATGTTATATGTATCCTGTATTATTGTATGGATGTGAAACCTGGATTATGAAGGTTAACATGATGAACAATTTAAAAGCCTTTGAGATGTGGTTTTATCGTAGACTGCTCAGAATATCATGGGTTCAACACATTTCAAACAGAGAAGTCTTGAACTCGATAATAGGTAATAAATAAACGATAAAAAAGAGAAAACGAATATTTGGGGCATATAATGAGAGGAAGCAGATAATGCAGTTGATACTCAACGAAAAGATGGACGGAAAAAGAGGAATTGGTAGAAAGAAATAGTCATGCCTCCGAAACTTTCGTCAATGGACTGGCTTATCAGTAGATGAATTATTACATACAAATAAAAGATAAAGGTAAATTTTATGTAATAAAATAATAAGGTAGATTTTAAATAGGTAAAAGAAATAATAAGTAAGACTTACTCACAATCAGTTGAAATAGAATGGAGCAATATAAAAAAATATATAAATGAAACAGCTTCTGAACATGTAGGGATAGAGAGAAAGAACAAAAAAGAAGAATGGTATAATCAAGACTGTCACAATATGTTAAAAAAGAAGATAGAAATAAGACAAAGGTGGATCAGAACAAATAGACAAGAATATAAAGAAGAATACAACAAATTAAGGACAGAATGTAAGAAACAAATACGAAAAATTAAACGAACCTGGTTAAATGATAAGATAAATGAAATAGAAAAAGAAAACACAAATAGAAACACAAAAGCATTTTATAAGAAAATTAGCGAGCAGAACAAAACCTTCAAAGGAAAGATAAAAGGCATAAAGGATAGAAATGGAAAAGTATCAGAAAATGACAAAGAGTTTAAAGAAATCTGGACTGACTATTTTAAAGAATTATTAAGAGTACAAGAGGAAGAAGACTTTAATGAAAATGTGGAAGAATAGACCACGATGATAGAAACCGAGCTAGAAAAACCAACGAGAGATGAAGTTAAGGAAATTATAAACAGTAGTCGCAACGGTAAAGCACCAGGTATAGACGGTATAAACATTAAACTAATATAATATGGTGGACATGAACTCAGAGAAAAAATATACCAATTAATAAAAGTCATATGGGACGAAGAAAAGATGCCAGAAGAATGGCACAAAGGACAAATTATCACAATCCATAAAAAAGGAGACCAACAAATGTGTAATAATTATAGAGGACTGACATTATTAAACACAGCGTATAAAATCATGTCAAGCTTAATACAACGAAGACTGGCCAAAGCGACAACAAATATCATGGGACAGTATCAATGCGGATTTATTGGGGGAAAGTCATTAACAGATGCCATACATACGGTAAAGCAAATTATGGAGAAAGCTTATGAATATAAAATAGAAATTGAACTGCTTTTTATAGACTTCCAACAAGCATTTGATTCAATAAACAGAGCGAAATTACTTACAGCTATAAAAGAAATGAGAATACACAGCAGATTAAGACGATTAATAAAAATGACATTGAGCAAAATCGTAGTAACTGTAAAAACACAAGAAGGAGACACAGAAGAATTTGTTATAAATAAAGGTGTACGTCAAGGAGATTCATTATCTGCAACTCTGTTTAATCTTGCCCTGGAATATATAGTCAGAAAAATCAACAAAGGTACACTTAGAACGAGAGAGGGACAAGTAATAGCATATGCCGATGATATTGTGATAATAACAAAGAACAGAAAAAAAATGGAAAGTATGTTAAAAGAATTGGTAGCAGAAGGGAAAGTAATGGGATTAGTAATAAATCAAGAAAAAACAAAAATAATGAGATTTTAAAATGAGAAAAAATATGAAAACAAAAAGGTTAGACTGGGAGAATATATATTTGAAGAAGTAGAAAAGTTTAAGGATTTGGAAATATTGTTAGCAAACAATGGAGAAAGGGAAACAGAAATTAAACAAATGATAATTACAGCAAATAAGACATACTATGCAAATAAAAAGCTCCTAGAAAATAAATTACTGAGCAAAAAATCGAAAATGAAAATAGGTATATAAAACAATTATTCGACCGACTATGATGTATGCTGCTGAAACCCTTAGCATGACAAAAAACAAGAGGAAGACCTTAGAATACTAAAAAGAAAAATACTAAGAGCAATATTAGGACCAATAAAAATTAATGAAAACCAATATAGACAAAGAACGATTCATGAACTACTAAACGAAATTAAAAAGGATATAGTTTGTAAAATAAAACAGCAAAGGGCAAAATGGCTAGGACATATATGGAGATCAGGACCATCTACGACAATATTCTCAATATTGGAATGGACACCAGCTGGTAAATGAAGACGTGGAAGACCAAGATCTACATGGCTACAAGAAGTAACAAACGATCTCAACAGGGCGGGCGTACGACAATGGAGAGAAAAAACCAGAGATAGGAAACAGTGGAGAAAAATAACAAGAAAAATTAAATAAAGAAAATGAGGACTGATCTACCTCGTAAAATAGATCTAGAGAGCTTAAGCGGCGTAACCCCGTACGGGGTGTTTAGCCACAATATATAATATATATACTCACAATCAGTTTAATTTAACTATCTAGACGACCGGTTTCGCTTTCTACAATATGCAAAGCATCTTCAGGTCTCGATACAAAGTTAATTAAATGCTGAAATAATAAAACCTATATTAGGGTGTTGTCTTATAAAGACAAACATATATAAATGATATAAATTACATTAATAATGATATAAATTACAGAATATTACTTGTCTGTGGTTTTTCAAAGTAAATAAACTATTTACGCAGACAAGGTAAGACCCACAAATTGGTATAAAAATAGTCTATTGAATTGTAATAAATTAGTAAATAAATAAAACATTACTTACATGCCGGTACTCTATTAATTAATGGTTGGAAGAACATGGTTCAAACTATCCTGTATTGCTGAATGGAGAACTTCAGTTTTTACTATTGTAATTGTTTGACAATAAACAGGGAAGTTCTTGAGGAGATAGATTTTATCCAATGAAGTAGAAATAGGTGTAATGTTATTGTTTGTTAAATGAGTTATTTATAAATACCTTTTAAATAATTAAATAATATAGAACATCACTCGAAGAAGGAAATCCGGTCATCTAGAATGAGATTAAGATGATCAAGGTGAAAAAGGCACTTGAAAATAAGTTTTCAGGTTAAGACAAACTATCACGATACATAGTTCAGAACCATTAATATAAGGCGAAGACAACGAGAATTGGTGGCTAATACGGAACAAAGTAAAGCATATTCGCATATACCAGGAATATCTAATCTAAAAAAACAAGATCTTCTCTCACTATGTATGGTTGATGTTATTCAAAAGCACTAACATAGGTTTTGTGCAGATTTACATGTGAACAATGGAACAGTAGAAACCGAACAAACAGATTACAATATGCATGACTTTGATTAAGTGTTAAAACCAAAAAAGTTTAATAAATAAGTACAATCATAAAAAAAGACTTTTATTTGATATGATATAAAATACCTATTTCCTGAAGACAATTTCACATACTCCTTACTGCATATAAGAATATGCAAAATTAAAGACAATTATGCTAAATACCAGGTCTGTAGCTTAATTTTTGGAATTATAGTAAATAATATTAACTTTTAAAAAAATTGAAACACTCATAACTTAACATTATGATTTTTGCAGTTACTGCCCTATGGTTTTCGGTGCGGTCCTAAAAATCCCTCAAATACAAGGCAGAACAAAGTAAAGTTATGTTTTCAATGCTTTGTCATTTGTAAATGTGTATACAGTGTTACCAACTGTGAATATTAAAAAATGTCACAATAATTCTATTAATTCGCCAATAGAAAGGTCACATGCAAGGTCATGCTACATATCAGTAAATGTCAAACTATAGATTCGTACACAAATTTTTACAAACTAGAAGTAAGACAAAGAGGTCAGAAGACGTCAATAAAATATTAAAATGTAGTGGTACCGGAAAGGTTAAATAGAAAAAGAAATAAACAAAAAAAAGGGATGGTTTATGCTTTACTAATTATATAACAATGAGTGCCATGCTCTTCCGCAATGAATGCCATGCAAGTACATGACTTAATTTTCAAGTTTTGAGCTGTCCTTACTTTCTTTTGCGAATTTACCTATTATATTATTTTGTTGTAGAAATACGATTATGTGTACTTCACTGGAGATATTGTTTCTCACAGAGTATGGAACACAAGCATAGAAGAAAACACTAGAGTTATATCTCAAATATTAGACACGTTCGCAGATATTTATAATGTTCCGGTTTTTCTAGTATTTGGAAATCATGAAGCTCATCCTTCCAATTTGTAAGTTTCTATTATTTAATTTTTACTCCAAAATAATACTTTTTAATTGCTAATTGTTCTAGTTCCTTCGAATATACACTGCTCCAAGAAATTAAGGCACTACTTTAAAACTTACCATATAACATGAAAATATTAACTGAAATAAAACGCATTTTATTTCGTATTACTTTTATTTGTACAACAAACAGATTTACATAATATTTTGTTAAACATGTGATTTTTGTTAAACAATTAACAAAATGGTTAATTCTAAAAATTGAAATTCTTTAATTTTTTTTGGTTAATAAGATGTATTTCCACCCATGCTAATGAGGAACGAGAAACCGTCTTTGGAAGTCATACCTTTGGACGTGTTGACAACTTCACATACCTTGGGTCACTATTGACTGCTACCAATAAAACAAGCGAAGAAATCAAAAGATGAATAAATATTACAAATAGGGCATACTACCCAAAAGCATTTCCACTCAAGAAACATTCAAAGAAAAACTAAAATTATTATATACAAAACATTGTTGAGGCCGGTCCTCACATATGGAGCAGAAACATGGACTCTAACGCAGAAAGATGAAAGAAGCAAAGGCCGACCGCGAATTAGGTGGTTAGATGGAGTAGAAACTGACTTACGAATATTAAAAATCAGAAGATGGCAACATGTTGCCAAAAACCGAACAGAATGGCGACGAGCAGGCCAAGATCCACAGAGGATTGTCGAGCCGAAGATGATGATGATGATTGGCCAAGCAAGATCAGCCACCAGACAGCTATACGGACTATTATGGAACAAAAAAATAACAAAAGAAAATAAAAGAAGAATTTATAAAACAATAATAGAAAGTATTGGACTGTACGGTGCCGAACTCTGAGAAATAAACCAATGAAACAAATCAAAAATTAAATTAAACGAAGATATTCGGAGAGAAATGAAATTGAAGCCAAAAGACTTAACTGGTATGGACACCTTCAGAGAATTCCGGAAAATAGATAGAAGAATATATATATATATATATATATATATATATATATATATATTTATATATATATATATATATATATATATATATTTATATATATATATATATATATATATATATATATTAATTTTAATTTTATTTTTAGTTTTTAAATTTAATCAATATGTTCTGTCAGTTTAACATAAAATGTTTGTTTATAGGAAGCAAAAATTCCAAAAATCGGCTTATAGATATGTAAGAGTGTAAACTATTTAATGACCGCAGCTGTACATTGGTTTTGGGAATTATAGGTATTTGAGCTGTGGCAGACATTATCAAAGAAAAAGCATTTAACTTCTTTTTTTAATACCGATTGATAGTGCTATTGGCTATACAACATACGATGAGGATACAGGCAATTTTAAGAAGTATACATTGGCACACCAAAATGTAGTGTTAATAATAGTTTACCTGAGCACAAGAGGAACTATCGTCTTATTCACTGATAGAAATTAGCCGTAGTATATCACACTATCACGCTAACCACCAAAATGTATTTAGTAAAAAATAAGTGCTTAGAAAAATATTGCATTACAGTCCAAGGATATTCAGGAATACCTTCCTCTTCTTTAAGTTCCATCTTCTATCGAAAGTTGGAAATTATCATGGATATGTGCATCCTGTTGACTGCCGTTCTCAATAGTTCGGCATTCAAACTATTCCCTCAAGTTTTTAAGCCACGATATTCTTTTATTCAGGGAGACCACTGAAGTTGAAAGAATTCGTTTAACTTTAGTAATAAATAAAAAGATTTGCTTATAAACAGTGCTATGAAATATGAAACCTTTTCCCAGATGCACCGAAAATTCTAATACAGATTCAGGCTAACCGATAGAGTGATAGTCGAAGGAAATAAATAGTGCATGTATTCACAAACAGTAAACGAAGGACAGTTATGATCATTGCAGCTATTTACCGTAAATGCCGTAAATTGTTAATGTCTACCATACAGTGGGTGATCAAATTATTATAATCACTTGTTTAAATAAAGAATAAAACTGCATATAAGCGTCTAATGATGTGAATATAATATAAAAATAGATCAAAAACACGTTCTTTTACAAAATTTTAAAATATTTTTTTCTTTGACCTTAAATTACAAATTTTTTTTTAAATTTTGTATGAATTATAGATTTTCGCCGGATTGAGGTCTGACGAATGACCTGGCCACTTCAGTACTTTAATTTCCTTTTTTTCGAGGTAATGTTACCTGTTACCTGTTCCATGTTACCTTTTTGTCTTATGGCACGATGATAAATCGTGCATAAAGGTAAAATCATCCGATTCGCCAAACCAGTCATTAAGAGGATGCCATGATCTTAAAAGGATGCTTTACTCGCTCCACTATGCAATCCTTGTGATATTTTCACCCACTCGCCTTCGGACGAAGGCCGATTTATCCACGAGTATCTCCACTGCAGACTCATCGGAAAAACAATCCTTTGAATAAAAAAACTATAAGATATTTTTTTTAGGATAACAACAGTGGTTATAGGGATTTAAACTTTGATAGTGACGTAATTTACCTCATTCCAATCCTCAACTTTGGTTTTTTGGCAGGCGATATGATTTGAAACCTTGTCCAGTAAGTCTTCTGCGGACTGTCATGTCAGAAACTGCTATCCCAGCTTTACGAGTACGTCCCATGAGAATGCTTCTTGGCTTCTTTCTATTGTTTGTGAAGAGATCCCTAATTTTTCTTTCGTCTCTGGGTTTAGTGACACGCTTTTGACCACATTTTTGGGCACGCTGGTGAGTCAGGGGTTTGTCGGTATCAATTTTTTTTTGATATTGCTCACTGTTGCTTGCGCTAATTTGCATTGTTGAGCTTTTTGACGTTGGGAAAGCTTTGTATTCAATAAAAGTGTCTTTATCTCCACCATTTTAGACACAGGGGCGTCTTTAGTCTTACCCATTATGATTTTCCTCTCAAAAATCGAAATATTTTGAATATGTCTTTAAAATTAAAACTGTTAGTTTTTTTTCTCTCACAGTCACCACTAATACATTAAAAAAACATACTACAACGATAAAACGATACTAATCTTTTAAAAACAATACAAAAACATGTCAACTCCAAGCGCAAACTCACCACAATGTGTATGTTGTCACGTAATTTGATACAAATGACAGTTCTAGAGCTGTAAATGTTAAAAAAGTAAGGTTATTAGTCACAAAAAATATTGGCACACCTTAATCGGATAGCAGTATATTGATCTGATCATAATAATTTGATCACCCAGTGTAGTTGCAGACGTAACGCCAAAAAAATCTATACTATGATATAATAACCACTGAAAATAATTTACCAATACCAAAAACCAACCACGAAAGCATATACTTATTGATATTTTTTAGATATTCAGAAGTTCAAGATCCCTTGTACTCAAGTCGATGGATGTATGATATACTTTTCCAAAAGATGTCAAAGTGGTTACCACTCGATGAAGTTAAAGATACGCTTTTAAAGGGTGGTTTTTACACGGTCTCTCCAAGGAAAGGATTTAGAGTTGTTGTATTGAACAACAATATTTGTAATCTTAATAATTGGTAAGACGAAAATATAACAATTTTTTTATATCAAATAATTTTCTCAATTAGTGCCCTATACGAAAACACACTTTTTATATTTTATCATAGTATGCATATTTTTATAGTTTGCCTAAGTAATTTTATGGCACTATAATTTTTATGCATTAAACATGGCATCTAATTCTGCTTAAGTCTAAAATATTGTTGCTCGATTTATCTCACTTTTCTGGCATTTGCTCTATTTCCATAAATTATTTTTAAATATCTTTTCTGTAGATTTCCCGAGTATTTTAATTACAATCTATATAATACTAAATCTAGTTTAATATCCAGTAAAAATTATTTGCTTTGGTAGTTTACAGTCACATTACTTGTTGTTATTCTTAAATTTAAAATAAACCTTCTTGTCAGAACTAAAATGATCTAAGAGTTAAGGTGGGTTGACTTGATTCAATAATGCTTGGATTTCATTTTAAGCCAAGTGGACTTGTACAAGTGTACTTGTACTAAGTTGGTTGCCACGTTTAAATGACTTGGATGTCAAATAATCATTGTAAAGAAGGCGAAAGTAATTGTGGAAGGTTTTCTAGTAGTTGCTGATATGTTGATACATATCAAAAAAAGTAACAAAAAAAATTCCGCACTTCTAGCATCCTTATTTTTATATTTCTTTATACGTACATTCCATAATGCTTCCTTAGCTTCGTATAACTCCATGAATCTTACACTATCCCTTTTAGACTATTTTCTTTTTGTGGTTACTTCTCGATTTCGATTTTACACCGACGCCATTTTAATTTTACAATACCACACTACTTGGATCCAAGGAAGTTGGTCAGCGATCTACTTAACTGGGATAGAACCTGTTGATGTAAGTGTAGGGTAAAGTGTGCAAATCGCGGTCACCTAAGAAGAAAATTTAATATAAATAAATGTAAAACTCTGTGAATCAAATTTAAGCCGTCAATCCGTAATTTGGGGTTTTAACTTATTGCAGGATACATTTAATTTCAAAAATATAAAATTTTTGTCTTTGACAGAGACAAAATATAAAAAAGTATCTTTGACCGGTATTGTCCATGTATGTTGACAATGAGTGTGGGTAATGGCAGTCAATTTGTTTGTGTTATTATTAAAATAAAAATCAATATCTATTTAACATTTTTTTGTTATAAAACGATTAACGAATGTGTCTTAATGGGTCATAATTCAAATAAATCAGTAAGAAAGGTGAAAAAATATTTTTTATTACAAAACAAACAAAAAATAACAAAAATATGTGTTTTAATGTAAAAATAGTTGACAGTCATCGCAGGTATAACTCTCTGCAGAATCCCATCCACTGCACTCTGAATAAACCCATCGTGAGCAAACGGTAAATATATACCACAATTCATTGTTTTTGCCAAACTCGCTGTAAACCAGGCATCTATCTTCGTATGCATCGTCACTGTTATCACATGATATATCAATATCCGATTCCAAAGAACTAGAATCAAACACCTTTTTGAATTTTTTGAAAAAAACCACTCTTGTAATGTCAGTTACAAGAAAAATGTGTTTTATTACAAGAAAAATTATCTTGTAAACTCAAATGCTAATTTTCTCAGTTCTATTGCTGTTACGCCATAAAAAATTAAGCTAAATATTTTTTTGTGTGGCTATTTTAGCTTCTTGTTCGGCAGAAAATACTGATTTTCTACCTAATGAGACACCTTGAAAATTTTTATTTTTTATTCTTTCTTGCAATGTCGAAAAATGGATGGAATAATCCCTAAGGATTAATAGTATAGGGTATAAATTATAGCATGGGGGTAATACCGGTCAACTGACCGGCATTGCCTCCTGTTGGCATTTTTTTTCTTAGAATTTTTTACTCATAAACATGTATTAAAATATTGATCTTTAAAAAAGGAATAGGCAGCTAACGTCATTATAATCAATTGTAACCAATTTTAAGATCTACAAGTGAATAAAAATGAATTAAGACCTTATATTACTGAACATGAAAATAAGATCGAAAACACTGAAAACAGGTTAATAATATTTCTATGACAATGGTTTGCGCGAACTCAACGCTCGTCAGCAATCTGAATACAGAGTAGTGTAGCGATACGTTGGCAGTTATAGGAGGTTGCCAGATTGAATAGATTTCGCACAATCGGGATGACCGCCATTACCCACTGACCGGTATTTGCACACTTTACCCTACTTGGATACAGACTTTAACCAAGTATATTTGGATCGTGTCAATTCGCCTTTATATTGTTTACCATTGTATTCTTGCTAGTTCAAGCTTGTTATTTCCAGCTTCATTTCTAGTTTTATAAGTTCTTGGTTTTTTGTGTTCTAAACTTATTTTTAAGCGTAGGCTATAATCATATTAACAAGCTGCTAGACTGCTTTTACAAAACAATAACTATAATAGAAATAATTGTAACAGTCACTATTATGCAATTCATCCAACTCTGCCCAATAGCATTAACACCTAACCTTTTCTTCTTCCAAATCATATGCTTTCACTGTTATTTTTAGTATTTCAGAGTATTTAAAAGCGCTTTTTATATTTATATTTAGTGTAGCAGTGGGAGACTTAAATCACATATTTTTCGAATTTACCAGACACATGGGATCATCAAAACAGATATTATCCAAATTGTACAAACTATACATTGCAGGTCCAATAAATATCATGTTTAATTACCTCATTCAAAAAATCAGTGTTTGGTCCCTTCAATGATTTTCTCGGGAAAATAAAAATAAATATTTATAATATAAATAAACAGCTTAAAAAATTTTGAGGTAATCACTAAAATGCAATTTATACGCATAAGTACATACTATTAAAAAATAAGTAGATTATCATACATTTAATTTTAAATCAGTACTATTTCATTAATAAGATCTGTAGCTATTGAACATAGTTCAAAGCCAAACCTCGTCGCACATACATACATACATTCTTCTTCTTAGAGTGCCGTCTCCCTACGGAGGTTGGCAATCATAATGACTATTTTTATGTTAAAACTCGCTGCTCTAAACGAATCAATCGATCTGCATTGATACCAATCACGTAGATTCTTTAACCATGAGTTCTGCCTTCGGCCAACAGATCTTCCTTCTTGAATCTTTCCCTGTATTATGAGTCTCAAATTTTCATATTTTGGTTCCCTCATCATGTGGCCTAGGTATTCCAGTTTTCTGGTTTGTATAGTGGTAGTTAGTTCTGTTTCTTTACCAACCCTCTGCAGTACTTCTTTATTGGTAATTCTATCAGTCCATGATATTTTCAATACTCTGCGGTATAACCAGAGTTCGAAGGCCTCGTTTTTTTTTAATTACATTTTTTAATGTATAAGTCTCAGCTCCGTATAATAATATTGAAAATATATAACAGCGAATGATACGTAGTCTGATCTCCAAATTTTAGATTTTTGCACGTTAGGAGATAAACGCTGATCTGGCAATCTCTATTCGCCTGTTTATTTCTACAGTAAGATCATTGGTTTCATTGATCAAAGTTCCCAAATACTGATATTTTTCTACTTGTTCTATCACGTTACCATTGATTGTCAATAGGTAATGTATATTTTGTGGTCATTTTGTAATTAGCATGTACTTAGTTTTTTTAGCGTTTATAGTAATTCCCATCTCAGCACTATTTATACTCAAGCTTTCGATAAGACGTTGTAGATCCTCTATACTCGTTGCTATGATCACAATGTCGTCTGCATATCTTAAGTTGTTAATTATTTTCCGTTAACGGTGACCCCGCTTCGATATTATTGAGCGTGTTTTGGAAAATTTCTTCAGAATATAGGTTAAACAAAAGTGGTGATAAAACATATCCTTGTCTAACTCCTCTACAGATTGTTGCCCATCAATTTGAACTATGTTACTTTGGTTACAATATAATGTTTGCACTATATTTATGATTTTACTGTCAATGCCATTGTTTATAAGTATTGATATTAGTTTTTCATGTCTTACTTTATCGTAAGCTTTTTCGTAGTCAACGAAGCACAAGTGTAGATCAACATTTACAACCCGACATCGCTGAATCAATATGTTAATGGCAAATAGTCCTTCTCGAGTACCCATTCTATTTCGAAACCCGAACTGCGTCTCGCTAATATCCTCCTCTAGCCTCTCGTATATTCTCTTATGTATTATTTCTAGCAAAACTTTTAAAGTATGACTCATGAGGCTCAGTGTTCGATAATCAGAGCACTATTTTGATGCTGGTTTTTTAGGGATGGTTATAAATGCTGACTTCAGCCACTCTTGTGGTATTATTCCCGTATCGTACACCGGGTTGAATAAATCTGCCAATACTTCCAAGTTATCCTCTTCCACTGGTTTTAACATACATACATAGAAAATAATAATTATCGTTCGGTTGGTGACCGAATATGTTTCGCGGTTTCCCCTGTGTTTACAAATAATATACATTTTGCAGTCCCTTTTGCCTCATTTACGAAAATAATATAGAAGAAATACTCAGTGAGAATGTATATTCTATTTTCAGTTTTCTAAAGCCCCAAGAGTATTTTTCGTAGCAAGTAGAATGTTAAATGCAGTTTGGGATTGGATCGCAAGAATTAGCTTTAAATATTTACCAGTAGGCACACAGATGTACAAAAATTACAATATAATATAGTCGTTTTTTACATTTTTGGACATTTTTTCCAGGGATTTTTGGGGAACAACACATTTGATAAAAGAGTTACTAGCTCCTTGTTTGGTTAGGGCAAAAAAAACTGAAAAAATGCGCCTTGATAAAGGTATTAGACAAGGTGATACTATTTCACCAAAGCTTTTTACCTTAGCATTGGAAAATGTATTCAAACAGCTTGACTGGGAGGAAAAAGGTCTAAACATCGATGGTGTACGTTTGAGTCCTTTGAGGTTTGTGGATGACATAGTATTATTTAGTACAGATATCAAGGAACTGAAGTAAATGTTGAAGAAATTAAACCAGCAGTCAAATAAAATAGGTCTCAAAATGAACCTTCAGAAAACAAAAATAATGAGTAATTTACAAACTAATCTTGTTATTGACAACGTCAGTCTTGAAAATGTAGACCACTATATATATATATATATATATATATATATATATATATATATATATATATATATATATATATATCTTGGACATACCATTAAAATCGTCAAAGAAAATCAAATAGCCGAAATAAAAAGACGCATACAACTGTCTTGGGGAGCTTTCGGCAAATTAAGCTTTATTTTGAAGAATAAAGATATACCAATGTGTCTAAAACGTAGAGTTTATGACAAATGTATCTTGCCTGTAACTACATATGGACTGGAGACTATGGCCTTCACAAAGAAAACCTTAGAACAGCTCAGTAAAACCCAAAGAGCAATGGAGAGGGCCATGCTAGGGATTAGTTCGAGAGACAGGATTCGAAATAACGTCATTCGTGAAAGAACAAAAATTACTGATGTCTCAGAACGTATTGCAAGGCTCAAGTGGCAATAGGTCGGACACGTTGCCCGAGATAATCCCGAAAAATGGACACAAAGATTAACAAACTGGAGACCAAGAGAGAACAGGCGAGGAGTAGGCAGACCGCAGAAGATGTGGACAGACGATATCAAACAAGTCGCGGGCAAGCAGTGGATGAGAATTGCCAAAAGTAGAAATTGATGGAAGCAAATGGAAGAGGCCTATGTCCAGCAGTGGACGAACACAGGCTGAAGAAGAAGAAGAAGCTCCTTGTTTGGTTACTAACATCTGTAGTACCACACGGTTTAGACTGCAAAGTTTTCAGTACAACTTGGACTTTTGAATCTGGTTTTTTATCTCACCAATAGTTGCTTATTTTTGTTTTGGTTGTTTCTAGTATAAGTTGGTCGTTAATAGTCATATGTTGTGTTTTGCTTACGTTTACATCTACTGCGTATTGTACACTTGACTTTGCTATTTATGTTATTTTATTTATTTTTTCTTATATCTCTCTCTTATCTCTCTTATATCCCATGCCAGCAAGATAATGCTACATATAATCAATGAGAGACTGAAAACATTCCTTCAAAGAGAAATTCCACAAGAGAAAACTGGATTTACCAAAGGTAGAGGCACTCGAGAACACCTGCTGAATATAAGACAGATAATCGAGAAATCTAGGGAATTCAACATCCCACTATACATCTGTTTTATAGATTACCGTAAAGCGTTCGACAGGGTCAAGTGGAAACACTTATGGCGAATACTAAAAGAAGTAGGCGTACCAGAACATCTAATTACGCTTATAACCGAACTATATGAATACACTACTGGATCAGTTAAAGTACTTGACACACTTTCAAACGAATTTCATCCAGAACGGGGTGTCAGACAAGGATGTATACTATCTTCACAATTATTCAACATATATGGGGAGTATATTATGCGAAGAGCACTTGAAGGATGGGAAAAGGGCATCTCAATAAATGGTCATAAACTAAACAACCTACGTTTCGCAGATGACACAGCCCTTCTTGCAAATAGTCAAGCAGAGCTGATAGAATTTATACCACTGATCGAAAACGAAAGTCAAATATTTGGTTTGCAATTAAACATATCAAAGACAAAGATCATGATAGTGGATAGACTATCACAACAATCATCCACATATAACCACAATTGACCGGTTCGAGGTTGTGAGCTCATACTTATATCTGGGATCATTAATCACAAACACAGGGTCATTACAAGGAGAGATTAAACGTAGATGTGATCTAGCAAAAGTTTCCACAGCAAAAATGACCAAAATATGGAAGGACTGTCAAATTTCAAGAGCGATAAAGATGAGGTTGATCAACTGCTTAATATTAACAATACTGACCTACGGATGTGAATCTTGGACTCTGAGACAATCGGAGAGAAAAAGATAGACGCCACTGAAATGTTCTGTTGGAGACGAATGTTACGAATTCCTTGGACCGACCGTAGAACAAATAATTCAATATTAAGAGAGCTAAAAGTTAGCCAACGACTCTCTAGTAAAGTCCATCTCCAATAAAATATTTTGGGCATGTTATGAGACCAAACACAGAAAACATGGAAAGACTCATAATACAAGGAAAGGTAGAAGGCCGAAGATCACGAGGAAGATCTCCAACAAGATGGATAGATCATATAACAGGAATATGCCAAAGACCTATGCATGAGTTAAAAGAAATGACCAGAGACAGAGATCTCTGGAGACGGACAATACACGACATCACGTCGACCACTACACTCCCCCTGGGGGGTCAGTATTGAAGAGAGAGATTTATTTTTTAACTTATTATTATGGCGTCATCACGGAACTAGCGTCATAAGATGGCATCGTCACGGGTTGGGTAACAAAATAGTGGTTCTTCACAACAATTGACTACTCTCGATTAATTCGTTTCTAGTCATCATAAAGAGTGTTTTTTAAAGGTATTAAATGTATAGAACTTTTAAATGGAATAAAACAAACATGGTTTAAATAAATTGACATGAAATTTGCTTAAAGAAACTCTTTTTTCATTATAATTTGGATTATATCTTATGATTTCTGGATATGACCATCACGGCTGGCTCTGACGTAGTCTAATCTGGAGGTCCAATTTTCGATGACTGTTTGTAATATTTGTCGCTGTATATTAGCAATATCATGTCATGCTTATTGGTGCAGACTAGCACCTTCACATATCCCCATTGACTGTAACGTTCTGGCCAGCATCGTTTTTAAACACTACGCTCCAATGATTCAATCAGACCATAAAGTAGGCCAAACAGTCAGTTTATCTGGATGTAATGGTTTCTCAATATACATTTGAGAATTATTTTAACTTTAAATAAAACAGTTTTATTTGTTGACGTACCCATTTAACCAAAAATGAGCCTCATCGTTAAACAAAATTCGCTAATGAAAATCAGAATCAATCTCGTTTTGGACCCACTCACCGAATCTACGAATCTACGCCTTGCTAGATGATAATGTAGTTTTAGTTCTTGCATAATTTAGATTTTAAAAGAACGCAAAGCAAGATCTTTCCGAACAGTATTCCATAAATTGGATGGAACCTATCCAACTGCTGTGCACGATGACAGATAGAATGATTCGGGTTTTCTTACAATATGCAACGTTCTACAGTAGCCATAAATTCTCCTATATGCACTGTACGACGTGTCTATGGATGCAAATTATCATTTACAGTAAACGTGTGTAAAATCGTTCCATGGTTAATCCAATTTCTTACTCTGATGAACTTTTATGTTGACCATTAAATGGACGTAGTGCGCGATATGTATTTTGAACAGAACTCCTTCTCTTCCTCCTTTTCCTCTATCCTTTATCCTTCGTAAGGATGTGGTGACGTTATAGTATTTGACGAATGATTGCTATCCATTCTTCTCTTTCCTGGGCGCGGTGTGTTGCCTCAGACAGAGGATAACCGGTGATACACTTTATTTGGTCTGACTATCGGAGTAGCGATCTCTCTCGAGTTGTTTTATCATCTACCTTGCCTTCAACCACGAACCTATCCATGCCTTCCATTCGTCTGGTAATGTGTTCAAAGTATCTCAATATATTTTGGTTGATGATTGTGGTAAGCCTAGTATTGATGTCGAGTTCTGTCAATATTGAGACATTTGTGTGATGTGATGTCAAGGGTATGCGCATTATTCTACGATATACCACATTTTAAACGCCATTATAAGTCGTGAGTGGCACTTTTAATGGTCCAAGGTAGCGATAGGAAAGATAAGCGTCTGTGCTAGGCGCAGTTTCGTGTTCCCGGACATACCGTATCTTTCCACTGACCACAACAGAACTACAATTTTCAAAATAAAACTGTAAAATTTTAAGCATTGTTTAGGCGTCAAATCTATTTATGCTGAATGCCAAACTAAACTTAACAGTAATCACTTGGCAGCTGTCAAATTGGCTGACAGTGTTACTAGCTTACATTTCTATAATAACACTTTCTTATTTCTAAAAAAACACTTGTAATTTATTCTAAGCAGCTTTAAATTAAATTTAACTAACAACATACATAAATTAATGGAGAAGTAAAAAATTAAAAGAATATTTGTCAATAAAAGATTTGATTCGCAACAACTGTAAAAATTTATCCAATCAATCATAATATTGAATCATCTGTTTAAATTTTTAACACACTACTCTCCGTTTTAAAATAATTTAGCATAAATACAGTTATTATTTTTAAATATATTATTTAGTTTATTTAATGATTTATTTTACTGTCACAAATGATAATTATTTATATTTTATTATAATTTAAAATTTCTTTAATTTTCTTTCTTTAATTTGACAGGTCTGTTAGAAGTAACCAAAGTATGATTTGTTAATACGTCAACAGATGTCTTGAGGCACAAACCTAATAATTTATTAAAATATTTGAATATAGTATAATCTGTTTAAAATATAAATAATAAATAAATAACAAAATTACTATATTCAATTTTAAAAATGTTATTTAAATATTAAAAATACATAAAATAGTATAGAAGCTTTTCGCGCTAGTCTACTGTAATATACCTTTTTTTTTTTGTCTAGGTGGCTCTACAATAATCCACAAGATCCTTACGATCAATTAAAATGGTTGGTAAATGTATTGCTTGAAGCAGAAAAAAGCAGTGAAAAAGTACACATTCTATTTCATATGGTACCAGGACAAAATGATTATTACAAAGTATGGGCTAGAGAATACAAAAGAATAATAGAAAGGTATTTATATAATAAGTATTTTACAGAAAATAGGTACAATATATAATTTAAAATACTTTTAATAATCGATACATGAGAAAAACTGTTATTATATACTGTTACAGGTTAAATAACAAACTAGCAATTTCTTTATTGCATTCTTAATTTGAATAATTTCTTTGTAGATTTTCTGACACGATAACTGCCCAGTTTAACGGACATTCGCATAAAGATGAGTTCTACGTTTATTATAATACCACAAATCAGTCTCAAGCTCTTAGTGTCCTGTGGAACGGAGCTTCCATTGTAACTAAACAAAAAGCAAACCCGAGTTATAAAATACTTTCAGTCAACGATGCTACTTTTGTAAGTATTATGCTTCTTATTCTTATATATTAAAGAGAAACAAGGTATAACATCAAACAAAATAAGATATATAAAAAATTTTTTTCAGATTTAACATAAATTGCAGTAAAATAGGTAAAGCAAAAAAAGTGTAATGTACTGAGAAGATTTTTAGAAATAATACAAAAATTATTTTATTTAACAATTTTTGTTCCTTTTTTATGTCTCTGCGCACATCTCTGTAAATCAGTCCAGGCCTTTTAAACTCCTAAATATCAAGTCCTTTTTATTTTGTATCTTCCCCTTTTTGCACTGGGCTCAATTTTTGTAATTTTTGTAATAAATATTTCTCCTTTCTAGGTTGCGATCTATGTTAATATCAGTGCCTTAATAAAACTAACGATAATATCGTCGTTAGGAATGAAATATCCGCAATGTAAAAATATCCTAATTTTACAGGAGACAGAAAAAACAGTTAAATAACGCTATTTTATATTGTATTAAATTAGTAATTGATTTTTTTGGCCAAACTAAGATTGATATTGATATTAAGGTGAAATTGATTCCTTAAATCAGTACAAAACATTAAACTAATAAAATAGTATATTACATAACGAGAGTTGTAAGAAGCTTATTACATGCGAGTAAAAAAGTTGCGCGTGAGCTGCGTAGCGGCGAGCGCAGTAATTTTACAAGCATGTAATAAGCTTACAACTCAAGTTGTGTACTATACTTTTTCTACCAATATTTTCGTTTATAAAAATAAAAATTAAATTACCACTATATTTACACTGACAGATTAATAATTTTTAATCTGTCAAAATAACGTCTGTCAATTCGTTTCCATGGTAACTCGACCAACTGACTTACAAAGCTTATGTGATATTACACATTTTTATAAAACTGAAGCGTAATTTTTTTTATTACGTGCTAGTCATTACGTGTCAGTATATGTTATGATGCATTTACTTAGCATCCAAATAGTAGGTAATACACAATTTACTAGTAAGCGAGTAGAAAAAAAATATTACAAACGCGCACATTGGAGAAATTATAATAATGATTGAACCGGTACATAGCAGGAATTTCAAATATTGTGTATGGCATGTCATAGTACTATACACCTTGAATTTGGTGTTATTAGGGGAAAAAGAGTTATATAAACAGTAAAGTGATTTGTATTATCTTTATTTTAAATAAACAAACTTCGACATGTAGTATCAGTGTATGATATTTTTACGAACACCACCGAAAGTATTATTTTTTGTTGATTTTAGGAAGAGTATCGTAAAAGTGATGATGATCTTTTTCAATAACTGATTTGAGGTCTTGCAGATGTTTGAACTTGTCTTCTGATATTTCAGGAGGTGTCTTAAAGGGCGAATTTTCATAAACCGACAGGTCTTGGCTTTCTCTTCTGTGTGGTAGTAGCTTCCAGTTATCTGAGTAATCAGTGGTGTAGTATACCTCTCCATTGGGACTATATTTTAATTGTCTTATATCTACAACTTGCGGATCTTTGCCATTTTTTTCCAGGTCTTATTGAACGGAAGTTACTGTCAATAGCGTACTTTTTAAAGAACGTAAAATCTACGTTTTTAATATTATACGGATGTTTTGGCCGAGCAAGACGCATTCTAGCAATGTAATCCATCGATGAATTAATTGGAGTCTGAAAGTAATGTTCCAAAGTGAAATGAACTGAATCTGCTTCCATCATAGTATGGCCTTTTTTAAGATATAACTGCTGTATTGTAAGGGATTTTGCTCTTGCTGAATCACTTAAAGCACTAGCCAGAGTTTTTTCGATTTTGGTAGTTGCATCCATCTGAGATGAATACAAGAGTTTGATAGTTGGCAGGAATATTATTTATATAATCTATAAGACAAGATGTAAATTCATTGCTACTGACTCCACCATTTGCTTCATGCCAAACGTACAACTGGACATCTTCATCATTTAGAGAATAAATGGTGAAGTTGTGTACTTGGAGTTTGAGCTTATAATACGATTGGGAAGCGAATACTTTTGGACACGTTAAGAAACTTTGAAGATCAACTGTGAGAACCAATTTTTCAGAATTTGCGCTACTTTTTAATAACTCTTTAGCCTGTCTTCCTTCTTTCTGCTTTGACATGTGCTAATCATAATCTTCAGTACTTATTGTCTTCATTTTATGTGCAATATCACATTGATCTTTCCTTTGCTTATGTATGACAATTTTCTCTGCTTCTAAAACAACTTTAAACAACTTGATATGAGCAACTGACTGCTTTCTATCATCGCACCATTCTTTATAATATATAGTCTGTACATGTTATTTGTTGTTATGATACTGTTGTCAACATATACTCTGCTAGTAGATACAATAGTGTGAAGGAACATTAGGAATATTTTGCAACCATTCCATAACATTCTTTTCTTTGCAAATTTGCCTCATTTTTCTTGGAGTAATCTTGTTGAATGTTGGAATCTTGTAGACTTTCACTAGAAGTATCAATTTCATGAGTGGCTGGCTCCCTTGAAACCCATCGTTTCATTGTGTCTTCTCCTAAATTTAATGTATTCAAAAACATAACTCGGCATACCTTGATGTAACTTCCATCTTTAGAAACAAAAAAAGTCACGAGCACTCTTCTTTTTGGACCGTTTGTCTGAATTTTGAGTATCTTTTCGGCGCCTTTGCACTGCTCTTGCTCGAACAAGATTTTTAACATAAGTGCTTCTATGTTCCCACGACGTTAATGTCCAAAATTTTTTAAAAATTCGTAGTCTATCGTCCTGCGTAATTAAAGAACATCTAAATGAGTGTTCTTTTAAACATTTTGGCGTTATAATATGGTTACATCGCTCCTTTAATGACATGCCATTCCGTCTGGTAATATGTTGTACATCGCCAAAACACAAATTTTGCTTTTTTCCTGTTCCAATATAGTAGCTGCAGGCAAACTGAAATAAGAAAAATAATTATTACCTACTTAATTTAAGCAATATTGAGATGAAAGATATCTAACAGTAGTAGTGAATTTGTTTACATACCTGTTTTTGGATTTTTCATTATAAATTTCATTTTCAATAGGAGCAAAAGTTTGAATAGAATTTTGCCGAGCTTCCTTAAGTGAATTTTGTACAACTATTTTAGTTCTTGTCTTGAAAACACTCATTTTGCACTGGTAAATAGCTTATTTGAGAAAATTTGAGGATAGGAATTTGACAGATGAAAGTATGAAATACCTCCAATGTGCAGATATTATAATAGATAATAGCTCCAATGTGTTTTTTAAGCACATTGGATTTATTTCAGTCCAACAATTAATAACATGTTACATTGGAGTAATGCATTTTTAGACATTAGGGAAGTTAGGAATCGGTACGTACATTGGATATTTTTCTAGACTGTAAAACTATTTATAGCGATTCAGAATCGTTTAAAATCTGAATTACCAAAAATTTGCACATTGGAGGTATTTCATTCCTAACGACGATATGTTCTTTTCAATGTTTATTATATCGTGGTTCGGCAACTTTCTAAATTCATTATTGTCAAGTTTATTAGGCGTAATATTTTTAGAACTATTTTCTTTTATATACTTATCGGTAATTCGGCAAAAAACAGTTTGACAGTTTTGACGTTTATATTGTTGTTTTCTGTAGTTGCTGTTTATCTTCTAAGCAGTGGCGCACCCAGGGGGGATTTTGGAGGTTAAACCCCCCAGAACTTTATTCCTTCGACACTGTTACAATGTCTAATTAAACAGTAATTTAGCTTTTCAAACGTCGATTTCGACTAAGTAAATAAAAAAAATGGTGTTAACTACTGTATATGTTGCTCGAATTATTGCATTGTTACAAAACGGAAGAAGTAAAATTTACGTAACCAAAACTTTAGGTATTCCGAGAACTACAGTACGGGGAGCTTTCTATCGCCTTATAAAGACTGGTACATACTTACGTCGATATGGTTTCACTCAGAGAAGAGTTACCTCGAAAAGAGATCATCTTGTTCTTGTAACTTTTAAAATATCGCCATTTCACTGCAATTGTTCCATCAAACCGTCTGCAGGAAGTGCAAAATGTGAATGTAAGTGGGATATAGGTTAGAAGACGCCTAAATAAAAGAGGACTAATGGCAAGAAGGCCAAGCATATATTCTCGAATTACAACCCAGACATTGTAGGAATCGACAAAGAAAAAGGTTGTAGACAAAAAAATTAAAAATATGCGTAAGCTTGTATGTCGCACAGAAGAAAGTTTGGCGGGGGTGGTGTCATGGTTTGGGCTGGAATTTTATTGAAAGCTCGAACTGAACTTATTTTTAATCAATGGCACCTTAACGCTTACTCTCATTTATTGAGAACAATATAATCTTTAGGCATAATACTGGACGGCGGCTGCATACTGCAAGAATCGTGATAAATTACTTGGGGAAGGTAAAAATTAATACTCTAGAATGGCTAGCCTGCAGCCCTGATCTGAATATCATCGAATATCTTAGGGATAAACTTCATTGTAGAGTTAAAGGTCAACCAGGCCAGCTAGAAAGGCTTGCAGAACTTCAAAACATGCTCGGTGAAGAATATGAACGTATTCCTCAAGTTTTTATTTAAAATTTGTCCCTTTTCCTCTAAAATAATAGAAACAGTTATTTATGTTTTAGGGCGTAATACACGAGATTAGACAATTTTGTTTAAGTTCACTCGTAAATTTTATTGTTTGTAATTCGTTTGGATATTACACTATTTTCTTTTGGATGTTGAGTATATAATATGAAACACTGCATAAAACTTCCAATGAAATTTTATTTTCCGAAATTTATAGTTTGGGCACTTTTTTTGCCGGTCAGTGTATTTAATCTGAATATTTTCTTGTTTTTCTGTTACTCACATTATTCCTGCATAATATGTGATTATTGATCTCAATAAAAGCGTAGTTCTCATAGTGTTTCTCAGCCACGAATGTCCATAATGTGGACGGACCTCTCGTTCTTTTTAATTTACCTTCTATTTATAAAACGTAGTTTCTAAGTATTATAAATGGAAGGTAAAATTACTACTTACGTTAATTTCTAAGATAGTATGTTCTTATTAAAACATATAATATATGTTTTAATTCTAAATGTGATTTATTACAATTTTAGGATTTAGGAATTTAGGATTAAACGATGGCCGTGAAAGACTAATGTAGTTTTTCCGATTTATTTGTCAAATTTTCATAAATTAAATTATACAGATTGAACGAATTTAAAACGGATCATATAATTTAATATATGTCTGTTTGAACTACATTTGAAATAGTGGACCAATATAAAACTTGGACAAAAATAAATCCATACCCGGTGATAGACATTGTATAAAATATCGTTTAATTATCTGTCTCCATTTAGGACGCACCATAGTCTTAGTGCAGCCCAAAGGCAATGTTGCCAATCCCCGTGTAATAATCTGATTTGCGGATCTTTTTGAGAGTTATATCTTCTTCGTATCTTTAAATAAATCGGATATTTGCCTATATTTTTCATTATATTTACCAATCTACTACAACAGACTAATAACAAAAATAAACTTAATGGTTTGTAGTTATTTCCTTTCTTTCCTGTAAATATTTTATGGTTAATATCTTATTTGAGAAACATCTAAAGGAATGAGATTGGCAACACCGCTCAAAAGATCCATCTGACTGCTTAGATAAACGAAAAAAAGGCTTGCCTAAAGCCGACCACTCACTATACAGCGGCGTTGTTCAACTTCGTCGAATTCGATGAATTGACAAGGATTTTGATCGTGTGTGCATCCAATAAAATCGTACAATTTGACCGCAGGTAGACTGGCCTGTCTGCTGCAGTACTGCAGAGTTGATCTCATCAATTTGTTGAGCGTGTGTGACCGTTTACAATTTGTCGATACTGTAAAAATACATTTTTAACTACACACTTGCTTTGATCATATTATAGAAAATCGACATGGCTTGATTTAGCGAAAATTTTTTAAGATAGTTTTTTTTAATTATATAAAAAACAAGAATGCTTATAGCGAATAAAAGGTATAACGTATCACGATAGAAATGTCCGAAAACGGGCAATAGACATTCTAGTTTTAAAGTTCCAAGAAGTAAACAAAGATGCGAATGAAGAGTATGTAATAAAAAAATTTAACAATTTTAGAACTTCCTATAAAAGAGAATAAAAATTAGCATTGCAGTCCAGTAAATTGGGTGCAGGGGCAGACGAGATTTATTTTACACCAAAATCTTGGATTCTTTGCACCAGAATCTACGTTTTATTTTAGGTTTCTTTTTACGCTTAGTTATACACAAAGTAAGAGACGCTAAAATGATTGTTTGATTTGACGTGGTCGAGAACCGAACAAATACTGCGGCGTAGTATGGTGTGCGGGCGCACCAGATATATCAACAAATTGAACAACGCCGCTGTCCGATTATGCCGAAAGACACCGCTGTACCGTGAGTGGCCGGCTTTTGGAAGCGATAGGTGGTTTGACAGCACAATAAAATCCAAGATTTATGTGTAGCTTTCAATTTTTATACGTGATGGGCGGGGCAAAGTATTTGGGTAGAGTTTTGACCTGTTGTTGAATGAGTTCAGAATCCAGCAGCCCGCTGAAGTATTGGGTTTTTATAATATAATTATTTGACAACCTTTTGTTGGCGAACCACCTAGAGCGGAGTTGAGACGAAACACATATATTTCGTATTTTCCGAATTTAACTCGTTCAATCTGTATACCAATCTTTTAAGTAAAAGTTTTAAGTAAACTGGTAAAACTGTTTTCTTTTTAAATTTCCCTACTAGAAGATAACGTCTTTTTGACGATTTAACATTTTAAACTATCCTTTATAATATCATAATATACTAGACCCATATCTCGGGTCTAGTATAACTACCGATGGTAACTGTGAAGCAGAAGTTGGGAGACGTATTGGTATGCCAGCTTGTGTAGCGGCGAAATATGACAAAATTGGAATATTGGACAAAATATTTTTACGCATAAATTTTATCAAAAATGCGTGCAAATACACGTTGCGTATTTAATTGTGCTAATAATAGCAAAAATGGTGAGTGTAGTTTTCATAGGTTTCCAAAGAATACATATAAATTAGAGAAAAGAAAAAGATGAATTCGTGCTATTAATATGAAAAAGTAAATATAACATAATTTCATTTTTATGCAATTGAAATAGGAAAAATTTAAATAATTTACCTTGAATGATATTTCATAAGGCTTCAAGCTAACTGCAGATGACTTTAGCTTTTATATCATAACTTTTACTATTATTGTTTTTAATTATATGCTCTTTTGCGTGAAAAACTTGATTTGCCAGTACTAGATTTTTCCCTGTATTTTCCGTTTGGAGTTGAAAAGGTATATTATGATAAATTTTGAGAAACCCAGTTTTTAATACTACATTTATTTTGTACATAAACTTTAAAATATAGTTAAAAAAACTAATTTATTAATAATTGTCAATTTCGCATGTATTTAATAATGTCAAACATATGTCATATGTTTAACCTGAAAATTGGGATTCCCAAATTGACAGATGAAGGCGGTAAGTGTCGCGTCAGTCACGCACGGAGCGAATAGGGTAGAAGCACCAGTTATTGGCCTCTTAAAGAGAGCACGTCGATATATCTATGAAATGTTTTGTCACTGTGGCGTATTATACCTATTTTTAACACCATGGAATTGTATTATTATTTCTACATATTGCAAAATTTTATTACGTTAATATTTCATGTGTGAAAATATTTTATATGTGCTCTTTTGTAAACGTGCAAATTAATCAGTTATTGGCCACCCTGTTCCAGTTATTGACACCATATATTGTGTTAATGATTGGCCATCATTTTTTAAAGAGATATTTTACCAAATAATTCTTAAGTTAAAATAGATAGATAGGTAGGTGTTCGGGTGAGCAAGGATTTTGTGATTAGTGTGGACCCAAAAAAAACACATGTCAAAGTAAACATTTATTTTTTATTTTGGCAAGATTCGCAAACATAATACTTGATCTGTGTCGCCATAGAATCTTGTTATGCAAGTTACATGATATGTTCTAAGACACATTTGGCATATAATGCCTTCTTTACACTCTGTAATATTTAGTACATATAATAACACACACCTTTAGAAACTTTTTGATTTTTAAAATGTGATAGAATGTTTGATACCAAGTTTTTATTTTTAAAACGCGGAAGAATGTTGGATACCAAGTTTCGATTTTCAAAGTGTGAAGGAATATTTGGTAATAAATTATCAGACACAATTGTAATTTTTGTTGAGGAATGATCTGTATTATCATCAAATAATTTCCGTTTGAGTACAATTTTTTTTCTCAGGTCTTGGGGACTTAGTGTGGGCGAGAAATATTTTCGGAGATAATCTCAAATTCGCTTGTGGTGTAGGTGAATGCTTGAAAATGTCAATATTATCTTGGTTATTTACATAGCTTAATTTTGTGTGAGAATGAGATTCCGGTGTAGGAACTTTGACAAATTCAGGTAGTGGTGGCTCAAAAACCTCAATATTGTTACTTCTACTTTGCTGGTTTAGAGGAGAAAACACTTTCAATGCTTTTTTGTCTTTTATTTTTGTGATATTTGTCAGTAGGAATGTGAACATTTACACCTTTTTTTAATTTTGCTAAGGTCATTTTTATGGATCGTCTACTTTTCTCTTCAGACTTAAAAGTTTTAGCTAATTTTTTGGGATTTTTATTATTCCAGCTTTTTATTATTCGAGGTTTTTATTTTCTTTTGATTTTCCTTAATACTCTGTTTTTTCTTGCTTCCAAGTTTCCTCTGTTCCTTTTTACGCGTTCCTTCTATTTTTTTTCATTTTTTCTTTTTTTATTTTTCTTCTATCTAATGAAGTTAAAAGAAATGAAATCTTTTGAGTTTGCTTCTTTCGTTTTCGTGTTGGAGTATCTGTCCATATTAAGTAAGTCGCAATAGATTTATTTATAGCATTTACAGATATTTTTTCAGAAATGTTTAGAGATTTCTCGGGTTTTTTGATTTTTTGACCTTCTTTAACCGTTTTCGTCAAACTTGATTTGTATATTCTTCTATTCCTTGCATGTTGAAAATTTCATTCTCAGGTACCATCAAGGTTTCGTTCTTGATTTTAGGAATGTTTACAATTTCAATATCATCTATTATTACAGGTATATTATTTATATCGAAAATTACTTCACTCGCGTCTAAAAATTTTACTTATTCGTCTAAAATATTTTCTTGTTCGTCGTTTGTAGAAATTTCTACCGAGGATTTTTCTGGAAATGCTGAAAAGATTTGTTTCAATATTTGGTAATCATCAGATTGAGCTTTACAATTATTTCCACATAGCTCTTTAATTTTATCATTGCCAATTATTTCAAAAAATTGTTTATAAGAAATTGTTGTATTTGGATCAATAAGTGTTGGTAAAGCATTGTGCTCATCCAGATTATCTTCAGTTTCAAATTCTTTCCCAAGACATTTTGAATAGTCAAGGGTAGAAGAATTCCAACGAAATATACCTCATGCCCTAAACCCACTTCTGATAACATCTGGATTTAACCTATCTATAGCAGATTTTAAAACAGGAGCAAACTGTACTTCCGTTAACCCTTTTTGGGGGTTGTCTGTCCTAAACTGAAGCATAGCTTTGTTCCAAAAAGTTTTTAGAAGCTTAAATGCAGCCACATCCGCTGGTTGCATTATTCTCGTGGCATTAGGATATAAAGCTACTAAAATAAACAAATCAAAACATATTATTAGGCCAATAACTAGCACATGGCCAACAACTGGTGCATTTCACCTATGTATATGAGAAATTCTAATGATTCATTTAATTATATTTATTATATAAAAGTATATCAAAACTATACAAATAATATTAAAAATAAAAAAACACGTTAATTAATTGTGATTTATCTTTTATAGGAACTATTAGATTTCGAAGAATGGACTTATAATCTGACTTTGGCTAACTTGGACGAAAATGAACCACTATGGTATAAATTATATTCGTTTAAAGAAACATATGGCGTAAAAAGTCTAGCAACTGATGAGATAAATAATCTTATTTTAAGGATGGCAGAAAATCCTGATCTTATTAAACAGTATTATAAGTGAGTATAGAAAAACATTAATAATAGTCTTCATTATTATATAATTCAATGGTAGCTTATTCTGTGAGGTAGGAAAACCAGACGACTCATATATTTATTAGCCTTCTTTTGGAACGAGGGCTCTGCCAAGAAAGGTAACCCGGTCCCTAGCTTCTTGTACAAAAATGGATCACGAATAAACAAACAAATGTAACTGTCACAAGCTTCACGATTCGAAGGTCTAAGGAAAAAGGTCCCTAAATGCCCCTTGAGACACAAGGGGCTCGGCAGCAGGCGCTGAAAAAACAGATGCAAGAAAGAGGAAAGAGATCTTTTAGGTTACATTGTATACCGTTTTCGAAGACAAATGACTATTGTCTACAATTTATTATCACCATGATTTGTAGATATTAATTTGTGACCACAACAGGTGGCCGCCACACTCAATTTTTTTAATATCAAAGGAGGTCGTGTGACACTTCCTTTGAAAATTTGTCAAAATCTTATTCCAAAAGATATATTAGACTAATAATTTTTGCTTATTTTTTAATTGATTGAGTAGAAAAAATATAAAGTTCCTTAGTAAGTTTTACCCCAAAATTTTAATTCATTATGTAGTCAAAATGTTCACCATTCAGCTGTTAACAATAGTATAACCTATTTTTTTGTTTCTTTTCTGATCATCTGTATAATTTTTGTAGTTATGTTGTAAAATTCGTAGGGCGTAGATCACCAATGTTTGTGGATTTGTCTGGTACACATTAAACTTGCGGTAACTCTAAAAGAATAAGATCTGGTGATCTCTGTGGACATTGTTTCAATAATTTAGTACTTTACGTGCATATAAGTACAAGAAGTACCATCATGTTTGAAAATAATGGCTTTATGAAAACCTTTTAAATGTTAAATTTTCAATGAATGTTAGACCCACAAGATAATCATCCATAATTTAACATTTCGAGAAATTGTATTTTACATTTACAAAACTAACAGGGATTTGTATCAGACAAGTAACTGACATTCTAGCAGTAAACGTTGCCTTTCAAATAAAATTAATAATCTTTACAAACAACAATTTACAAGTTTATTTTAACTATTTAATCAGTTGACAAATAGGCAAGAATTATTAGTGTAAATCATAGTTTTGGAATCATATTTTGACAGCCTTTCAAATATCACATAACTTCCTTTGTTGTTTAAAAAATTGAGGTCTGGCAATCACCAAGAAGGGGGTTCACTGAAAATTAATAAAAGATTACTTAGGGAATCTTTCTGTCATATCCGATTGCCAATTTCAATAGGATCAGTTAGTTCTTCTTCTACATTTAATTTTATTGTGTTGTTTTGGTAGACATTTTTGACGTTTTAGTTATTCCTGAAGGTATCTTTCTTGCGTACAATAATTGGATATCATCGTTTAATTTGACCCGCCAAATGCCTTCTTATATCCACAAAACATAGCCGGTTATTGTATTCTGATGATTTTTCTTGCACTTGCATCATTAAAAAATATAGCGTTTGATATTTAGTTCTTTTTAAAGAAAGTTATTTGGATGCTTGATCTCCATTCTTGAGGAATTCTGTTTTGTTTTAATAATTTTTAGATTCATTTTATTAGTTTTTAATTTAATTAATTTTTTTAGTAGTTGTTTGGTCAGATATGGTCCTCCGCACTTTAGGAGTTTTTTCCGTATTTTATTCTGTTCTGATAATTTTTTGTTTTTTAAATTCCTTAGTGCTTCATTACCGTCACCTCTGGTGTTGGTGGTTCAGTATCGTCACCTTAAGCAAATAGGGATCGAAATTAGTCTGCCCATGTTTTTTTCTAAATGTGTTTCGTTTTATTAGTATCTTTTTCTTTGTCCTTTGATGATTCTCCATATTTCTTTGTATTCCGTAGAAATAGTGTTTGTTTCGTCTGTTTTTAGAAGCTCTTCTTTTTGATGATATTTATTTATTGATAATATTATCTGCCAGTTTTTTTGTTTATTTGTCTATCGTAAGTGTTCGTTTCATTTCTGATTAGTTCATAGTGGTTGTATGTCTGTTGTGTTTGTTGTGTTCTGTAATGTAAAAAAGGACTTTTCTTAACAGTTTTTCATAACTTTCTCTCTAAACCAAGGGGTTTTGTTTTTTAATATGTTAATGTTTGTTACTTTCCTCTCTCCAAGTGAACAAGCATTTGATAGAGTATGCAGTGACAGACTGTGGACAGCGATGCAAGAACTTAGCTTTCCAAAAAAACTAGTCAGGTTAATACGGATATGTATGGAATGGTTACGATGCAAGGTGAGAGTTTAACAACAATACTAGGAGACATTTGAAATAAACAATGAACTAAAACAGGGAGATTCACTTTCACCACAACTCTTCAACTTAGCTCTGGAGTACATAATCAGAAGTGTAAGAATCGAAAAACTCAATACAGTATTTCATCGAGAAGGACCAAACTTACTACTGGCATTTGCAAACGATATCGATCTAATAGGAAACACACGATTAAGGATGAAGGAGACTTTCGTGAGGTTCGAGAAGGAAGCAGAGAAGATGGGGCTCCAAATCAACCAAAACAAGACGAAATATATGTATATGAGCCGCAATAACTAAAGCAGAGACAAAATCGGTCAGAACATCACCATCGGTGACTTTAACTTTGAGCGCGTTAGAAAATTCAAGTATCTTGGAACAACAATAACTGAAGACAATAACGGATCACAAGAAATAAACAACAGGATTCAGGCCGGCAACAGATGTCCTTTTGCCCTCCAAAACCTTATAAAATCAAAACAAGTAACACGATGTACGAAGATACAGGTCCATAAAACAATCATACGACACGTTGTGATGTATGGAAGTGAAACGTGGACGATAACAAAGGCTAACGAAGAGAAACTATGTGTTTGGGAAAGAAAAATCCTTAGGAAGATCTTTGGTCCTGTACTGGATGAAGCATCAGGATAATATAGGATAACAACTAACAAAGAGCTCGAATAACTTTACCCAGACGCCAACATCATAAAAGAAATAAAGTCCAGAAGACTTCAATGGGCAAAACAATTCAGAAGACATTCTGACGAACGAACAGTAAGACTGGTGTGGGAGGAAGTCCCAACTGGAAGGAGACCACGCGGACGCCCTCGTCTTCGGTGGCGAGATTATATATCAGGAGACCTAAGCACTATGGGCGTGGAGAATTGGATGGAGGTTGCTTAAGACAGAAAACAGTGGAGGCATGTTGTCGAGTCGACTAAAACCCACGACTGGTTGTAACGCCACGGAGTAAGTAAGTAATACTACTACTATCGGTTTACAGCGTTCTCCGATGCCTTTCAACTCCTAACCGCTATTCTTCTCTATTCAACCATTGGCCTGGAGGGATTTCTCTTTCCTCTAGCTCTTTTTCAATTCCCTCTTTCCAGCTTCTTCTTGTTTTCTCCCTTGTGGTGTCCACGTCAAAATCTGTTTTGGAATTCTGTCTTCAGGCATTCTCTGTATGGCCGTAGCATATTAACTGTTTTGTTTTTATGTTATCAACAATTTCTCGTATTCTCTCATTTGGTATCCGATCTCTTCTTGATTTGCCTACTGCTCTTCTCCAGAAGTCCATTTCTGTTACTAGCAACAGTAAGTAAGTAATGCGTGATATAATTTATGATATACCTTTTTGAAACACTCTGTATAGGAAGTAAGGAAGGTAAGCGTAAGGAATATATAGATAGGAAATATACAGAATGATTAAGGACATACGAACATTACGAAACTAAAAATATAAGGCACTACATAAAGTGTAATGAAAGAAAAAATATAAAAATATTTTAACACCCTTTTTCTATTTTGTTTTTTATATTTTACGACAAAAGAATAAATTCGCATCACTTTAAAGTTAACAATGTTGTTTAATATAAAAATTGATTCAGGTATTTTTAAGGTATTTGTTTGAATATTCAGTGCTCATATCATTCCCTAAAATAGATTTTTGTAATTATTAGATAACATATTCTGCTGGCGAGATACTATTTAATTTGAATAATTAAAAATTAATCATTTTTTAGATACAAATTCCGAGGAAGCGATATATCCATTGAAGATGAATGTGGTAAAACTTGCCAAAAAAATTTGTTATGTTCAATGGTAACTACTCAATATGCAGATGATGGCGTATGCAATAAACTGTTAACTGTGTTCCATAATTCAAGAAAACATAATGAAACCTCGGAAGATTAAACTTGTACTAAGTTAGAAAATTTAAATTTGTTAGTAATTATATTTATTTAAACACGTTAATAAATTTTTTATTCAAATATTTTTTTAATTGCTTAGTCTAGCCATATTATGTGTTTGAAATATGTAGAAAGATTCATCAATAGTTTTAAAGTGACTTTTACAGGAAATATATTTAAAGAAATCTAGAGAATACCAGAAATCGTATATAGTAAATATAGCAAAACTAGCTAAGACTAGCAAAGGAGCAAATAAAAATTGATGGTTCAAATATTTAAGAACCCATCAGAAAAATGTGCGTAAAAAAAGTTTTTTTAATCTGCAAAAATATACAGATTTGATAGACTCCTCTCTGTTTTTAAATATCTCTAGTATTCTAGTTGTTAACTACTCTTACCTGGGCAGTTTGATTCCAATATAATTTTCGTATCACGAATGTCAATATTTTTGCTTTTTAATATATCTACAATATGGTATGACAAGTAATGTCGGAAACAGCTGGAAAAAAATACAAACAGTAAGGAAGATATATACAACTGCAACCAGACCAAAGTAAAAAGTAAAAAGGATTAAGACGACTGCCAAAAATAAACAAGAAAAATAATAAGCACAAAGAAAAGAAACTATGAACAACAAAAATATGAAGCTATGGAGAGAGACCAGCCCAAAAGAGGCTCCAGAGAAATAAAGCAATTTCCTCTGAGAAAAGACGACATAGAACCGTCGTCCCAGGAGCGCAACTCAACAATATTGGCAATATCATTTTAAAGTCGTCTACTTTAAAATGCATAATGTATGTCTGAATTGTCAATATAAATGAGTCAGATAAAATTAAATTATTGGAAGAATTTTTCACTATTTAACAAAAAACAAAATTTGTTTAATTTACTGTTTGTATTTTGAAAACGATTTCCGAAGTGGAAATTGAAACGTCGATAAACGTATTTTTATCTTTAATTGTGGCTTATTCCCAGTCAAATAAAAATCAAATCTTTTTAATCTAACCCAAGAAGACGTCTTCAAAACTACAAATCGGTCAACATATGGCATCAACGTTAATGTCAACAAGTAAAATCACCTCAGATCCGCTGAAGACATCGTGTTTATAGCGAGCACATTAGAGGTACTACAAAAATTATGATAGAGAATCTTGCAGACAGCTCCTTATACGTCGGCATAAAAATAAACCGGAAATACTTCAATAATTAAGGAGCAAAAATGTTTAACCAGTGCATCTTTCCTATCATAGCATCATCATCATCATCATCCAGCCTTCATTTATCACGTCGTCAGCCCAACGTGTGTATGGTCTCTACTACGTTTGACTGTTCTTGGCCTCCAATTTGTAATTTTGCTCGTTCATCGTAAGTCGTGAATTCTCGCTACATGGCCTGCCCAGGTTCATTTTAATTCTGCTATGCGTTCCACAATATCAGCAATACTCGTCCGTCTTCGCAGATCTTTATTTGTTATTCGGTCCTGCAACGTAACTTCCAGCATAGACTGTTCCATTCGTCTTTGTGCCACTCTTAATTTCGAAACCTGAGTCTTAGTAAGAGTCGTATGTATTTTCCGCCCCATAGGTTATGACCGGTAATACGCATTGGTCAAATAATTTTTTTTTGAAGGTAATTGGTATATTGGTCCTAAATGTGTCTCGCAGTTTTCCAAAGGCTGCCCACGCTAAAGAAATTCGTCTTTGGATTTCGCATATTTGGTTATCCCCGCTGATTCGTATTTCATCACCGACATCCTATAATTCTCCACCATTTCTACCACTTTATCTTCAATAGTTAAATGGTTATTGGGAACCATATTTGTCATAAACTTAGTTTTGGTCAAGTCCATTCTCAGGCCAGCCTTCGAACATGCAAAGTCCAATCCATTTTACATAACTGTGGCTTCTCCTTAACTATCTGTGATAAGGATAATGTCATCTGTGAAACGAAGAGGGTTAAGCTTTTCATAACTATTGTTACTTCTATTTGGTCCCAATTGACCATCTTAAAGGCATACTCTAATGCCGTTATGAATAATTTCGGTGACAATGTATCTTCAATGTATCGGTGAAAATGGAATTAAAGCTCTGTGTAATCTCTTTAACAGAATTTATGACACTGGCATATTACCAACTGATTGGTTAAAGTCGACATTTGTCACAATACCTAAGAAACATCGTCCAAAGACATGCGGTGATTATCGGACAATAAGTCTGATGAGTCACGTTTTGAAAATCTTTCTGCGAGTAATACACAGCAGAATTTATACGCTGTTAGAGGACAGAATTAGCAATACTCAATTTGGGTTTAGGAGTGGCTTGGGTACAAGAGAAGCCTTGTTTAGTATACAGGTGCTAGTACAGAGATGCAGAGATATAAATCAAAATGTGTATATTTGTGCAATCGATTTTGAAAAAGCTTTTGACAAAGTCCGACATAACAAAATGCTAGAAATATTGGAAACAGCTGGATTGGACGATAAAGATCTACGAATAATTACAAATCTATACTGGCATCAAGTGGCAAGAATAAAGGTTGAACAAGAACTGTCGGATGAAATAAATATAAAAAGAGGAGTGAGACAAGGCTGTATATTGTCGCCTTTACTTTTTAACTTATATTCGGAGGAAATATTTAAGGAAGCCTTAATGGAGACAACCGAAGGTATTATTGTGAATGGAGTAACCGTCAACAATATTAGATATGCCGACGATACCTTAGTCCTTGCCAATTGCGGAGAAGACCTTCAAAATCTAATGAACAAAATAAAACAGACTTGTGATCAGTATGGACTAAAACTCAACGTTAAGAAAACTAAATATATGATAGTTAGCAAACAAAATTATATACATGATGACGGTATAAAAGTCGGAGATGCCACACTGGACAGAGTAGAGAAACTCGTGTATCTCGGCAGTAATATCAATGAGAGCTGGGATCCAACCGCAGAAATTAAAAGCCGAATAGAACAAGCCCGAGCTGCCTTTGTAAAAATGAGAAACGTACTTTGCAGTCATGATCTTAGCATTGACCTTAGAGTTCGTATGATATCTTGCTACATCTTTCCTGTCCTGCTGTATGGAGTAGAAGCGTGGACCCTAACTGAGGCTATGCTTAAACGCTTGACAGCCTTTGAGATGTGGGTATACAGACGACTACTGAAAATAAGCTGGGTCGACAGAGTTAGAAATGAGGAGGTCCTTAGACGGCTGAACCAAACAACACAACTGGTCAATATAATAAAGAAACGCAAGCTGGAATACTTCGGTCATATTATGAGACACCCTGAAAAATATGATCTTTTACATCTGATCATTCAGGGAAAGATCCAAGGTAATCGTGGTCCTGGTAAAAGAAGAACATCATGGCTGAAAAATCTAAGGCAATGGTATGGAAAATCAACTACATCGTTATTTAGAGCTGCTGTCAATAAAGTCACGATAGCGAATATGGTAGCCAACATGATATCCAACGATCGATAACGGTCATGGAACTAGAAGAAGAAGACAATGTATCTCCTTGCCTTGTATGTATCCTTGCAATGTATCCCACGTTTAATTTTATTGGTCGGGTTTTATTGTGTATACTAATAGTCACTGTGGAATCTTTGTAAATAAGTTTACTATACCCATGGTTAATCCTGCAGTCACTCAATGCTTCTATAAGGCTGTCTATTTCGATCGTGTCGAACGATTTATGAAAATCTATGAAAGTGAGGATAAGAAGTTTTTGTATTCTATAGATTTTTCAATGAGTGGCTTTACTGTATGGAGGTGATAATTATTGGTATTGTAGTTTCCCGCTACACGTTTTATATCATATTCTTTCCAGGGTTCTCTACACTGGGCCGCTTGTAGCCAGTTTCCCGCTACACGTTTTATATCATCGGTCCATCTAGTCGGTGGTCGTCCTCGGCTTCTTTTATAGTTTTTGGGCCTCCATTCCATAATACGTCTTGTTTACCGTCCATCTTGTGTTCTGGTTAAGTGCCCTGCTCAGTTCCACTTAAGCTTCGTGGTTCTTTCGATGACGTCTTGAACTCCTGATCTTTGCCTGATTTGTTGGTTTGTTATGTGGTCTCGAAGGCTCACGTTCAGCATTGCACGTTCCATGGCTCGTTGTGTAACTCTGAGTTTATTCGCAGATTTTTGCGTGAGTGTTAAAGTCTCTACTCCATAAGTGTGTACAGGTAAAACACATTCGTTATAAACCTTTCGATTGGAAAATATGGCTTAATTTGCCAAATTCTGCCCATGTTAGGCCTATTCGCCTCTGTATTTCATGTATTTGATTGTCTCTGCTTATTTTGATTTCGTGTCCCAGATATTTGTAACTGTCTGTTTGTTGTATGATATTATTGTCAATAGTTATATTTCCACTCATTACGAGATTTGTTATAAGTTTAGTTTTCTTAAAGTTTATCTTTAATCCTGCTCTGTCAGACAGTGTGCTCTGAAGAGTGCTCTTAAATATTGACTCTAGAGCTGCCGTGAACAATTTTGGTGAAATATTGTCTCCTTGTCTAACTCCTCGACCTAAGCTGAATTTTTCTGTGTCTTCGTGTAGTCGTATACTTGATGTAGCGTTCTCGTAGATGTTTTTAATTAGTGTCGTGTACCTGTAATCTATTCGGCTTTGATTTAGGGCTTTCATTACTGTTTCAAACTCTACAGAATCAATAGCCTTCTCGTAATCGACAAATGCAAGAACCAGTGGTATGTGGTATTCGATGCACTTTTCTATTAAGATCTTTATGGTATGCAAATGGTCATTTGTGCCATATCCTGCCCTAAAGCCTGCCTGTTCTTTGGGCTGATAGAAATCAAGTTTAGGTGTTAGCCTCTTTGTTAAGATTTTCATAAAGAGTTTGTACATATGTGTCAAGAGGCTGATGGGTCTATAATTTTCTTATTTAGTAATATCGCCTTTTTTGTGTAACAAGACTATTACTGCATTATTCCAGTCTTTTGGAATCGTACGCGCATGTAAGCATTTATTAAACAATTCGCTTACTGATTTTAATAAAATGTCTCCTCCTGCTTTTATTATCTCAATAACGAGTCCATCATCACCAGGCGATCGATGGTTCTTTATTTCCTTTAAAGCTGCTCTTCCTTCTGATACAGTAATGGGTAAAAGTATTTCCGATCCCTGATTTATGAGAGTCTTTACTCGTGTCGGGAAATTGTCTTGTGGACTTCGGCTGTTATAGAGGTCTTTATAAAACTCTCTGGTTATTTTCAGAATGTTTTGTTTATCTGTTGTTGCCTTTCCGTCTTTATCTCTCAGCTTATATATCTCTTTTTTACTTTGTGTGAGTTTTCTTTTCATTATCTTTAAACCTTTGTTCTCTTCTACTGTTTGAGTAATAACATTAGTATTATATCTTCTTACATCTTTTCTAATTTTCACTGAAATTCTTTTATTTAGTTTTTTATATTCTTCTTTGTTTCCCTTTTCGTTCTCGCTTAGGTTTCGTCGTATTCCATGAGAGCTTTTGTATTTTTGCTAATCTTTTCACTTTTGGTGTCATTTTTCTTGCAAAATTTGAGTTGTGCCTTTCTAACCGAGTCAATTATTAATTTATTGTGATCGTCGATACTTAGAGGTTTGGGATTATTGTTCTGTAAAGTTTCGGCTATATTTTTTATGTATGCTTCTGGATGATTTTAATTCTGGAAAGGTTAATGAACGGAAAAATTTTAGGTATACAACTGTCACATAAAAAGAGGAACGACTGGGTAAGTTCAAAAACAAGGGTCGAAGATATCACAACAAAAATTACCAATTTCAAATGTAGCTACGCAGGACACACTGCTAGGCAAAAAAACCAACGTTAGAATGCCATAATACAAGATTGGAAACCTTACAAAGGTAGACAACCAATAGGAAGACTGCATCTAAGATGGGTACATGACATAAAATGAATAGCCGGAATAAATTGCAAGTATGTAGTTCATAATAGAGATCGATGGAAGGAGTTGGGAAGGCCTATGTCCAAAAATAGACGACAGAAGGCTAAGAAGAAGAAGATACACTTATTTATTACTATTTAACTAGCACTCTCTAAGATTTCGGTCAGCTTTGATAACAAATTTTTATTTGTTGTCCTCAAAAACTCTTAAAAACTATATTTTTTTAATGTTGATTATAATATTTGTTTACAAATTATTATGACAAACGTTTGATAATATCTCATTTTTAGTTTACATTATCATTATACGTTTCAACTCATTTTTAATGACTTGTTAATCGAAATATTAACCAGTTGCTCGGTAGCGTCTCCAAAAGTGTGTTCCTATGACTAATACTATTAAATTAGTAATGATTAAATTAAATGATTTAATAAATGTAAATTACATTTAAACTAGCACATAATTTCAATTTAAACAATGCACATTGTTGTCAATTTGCTGTAAATTAAAAATATGTGCTTGAACAAACTAGAAAAGATAAAACATTATCAAAACATAAACAATTTTTTATTTGGATAAAATCTATATAAAAACATTTGATCAATTTATAGAAATTATTGCTACATGGACAACGTTCACGTATATTCACAAAGTGTAATAAAATGAAGATTGTTTTGATTTTATCCATTGCGATAATACTTTTAGATTTTGTGATTTGTATTTCAATTGGAAAGGAAGGTAAATATAATTAGTTAGTTAATTAATTTTAATTTATTAGCGTCATAGTTATTTATAACAAATGCTTAACAAAGATTTGAAAACGTTCTTTGGTTATATTTACAAATTTTGATTGTTTGATTAAAGGTGTTTTTTACTTTTATTTAGTTTTTTATGTTAATAATACATTGTTTTCTAAATAAACGTTAATGTTCGTGATAAATTGTTGTCAACGTCAAATGTCTGTTTCACTTCTAACCAAACATAATCTTTTAGATTTTAGAGTTTTATTAACACGTCGCATGCTTAAAGCCTAACGATATGCTACTGCTAGGTGCTGAGAGTATTTTTTTTGTAAATCGTTATAACTGCAATTGGTTTCTTGTTGGCAGAATACATTTATAAATTATAGTTTATTCGTCTTCCGGGTTTGGACTGTGTCATTTGTGAGTGACCCAAAAGTGGGTTCATCTCAACGTTTCGCTACAATTGTATGTAGCTTATTCAGGAGAACAAAGAAAAAAGAAAGAAATCAAAAGACAGGAAGATGGGTAGTTAGCAACGGTAACTCAGTTACTCAACGCAACCAGAGGCGAATACTAACTACCAAGATGGGCATTTGGTCACAGTAACTCAACTACTTAACGCAGACAGAGGTGAAAACCAAATGCCAGGACAGGGATTCACGTCCAACAGCTCAGAACACTAACGCGTCGAGAGGCGGGGAGTGAATCCCCGCCGTGAATCGGATTCACTTTAATCCAGAATAATCATTTTCTTCTTTAAAATCTATAAAAGGAAAAAGCAATTGTACAAGAAAACATAATGCTGCAAAATAATTCTGTTGATAATATTCTAAAAGGTTGAAATTAGAAATAAACATTTCAAAACATGTATAAAAATGAAGTTATGATATAATTTTGAATTCATTTCTCAAATCTCGTATTGGAATCATATCTGTACTTTAAAATAAACATACCTGTGTCTTCATCTGACAGAACTACACTATTATTGGATTCACTGAATTCATCTTCACTAGATGAATTATTATTTAATATATTATATAATTGATCAGTACTATATTTTGATCTTTTACAGTTTGAATTACTTGCATTCATTTTATCACACGAATCTTCGATCTTTTACAATGTGAATTATTATTTGCATTTATTTTAACAAACGTCAATAGTTTGATAGTTTGACAACTAAAAAACTAAAAAGCATGGCAACCTATTATGGAGGTATGGAATTCTGTAATAGGTTTTAATAAATAAAAAAAATAATACAAATTATTGCAATATATAGATACGGATTTCGGTTGTTGACTGTGATAATCAGCATTATCTTTTCTAATAATATAAATCCAAAATAAAAAAGTCTAATAGCAAAAAATAGAATAAGTTAATTTAAATTTAGAAAATATATTAATTTAATAAATTTGATATGGCAAAATAAAGATAATACAGAATCTAAATTTAAATAATTTTATGAATTAGTTTTTGTACTTGGAGAAAAGATTTTCTTTTTTGATTACCGGTGGGTTTTCTTTGTTTTTAATTTTTATAGTGTTGGTGCAAAACAGAGTTATTGTGAGTCCATCTTTGGAAGCCTTACTTGCAGTACTCATTTCTTCTCTTAGGGCATAAGTTATGTTAGATAATGCTTTCGTCGAAATAAAAATAATCCCGACTCATCTGCGTTAAAATATCTAGCCGTGAGTATCGCTTCAATAAATTGAGCAGTTTTTCCATTCAATCAGAAACCACTAAGTAATTTTCAGCAGCTGTTTTGTCATATACAAATTTGAAGCAACTATTTTGTCGCTTTCAAAACTTCACAAGCCTAGAAGAACTAGAAGCCTTCATATCAATGCTTAGTTCACTTGAAATTTCTACTGCTTTTTTTTAATAATTTTACCAGAAACAATATTATTTTTTAACCCCAATTTACGAAGCAAATCGAAAATAATTTGATTCAATACGGCACCCGAGAAGAAATTACCGAAACACAAGTGAAATTGAAGAAGGTAATGGAAACATTCTAAAATGAGAAAAAGAAAAATATAAGCAAAATTGAAGAAGGTAATGGCAACATTCTAAAAGAAGAAAAAGAAATAATAAAGGACATAGACAGAGTATTTGTCATTATGTATATAAAAATGCCGTGGCCGGTCTGCGCTTTTGTGGAGGAAGTATTCTGGACAAAACACAGGACCAACCTTTCACTTCTGGAACAGCTTCATATAAACGACAGGCTAATAAAAAAGTAAACCGAGAATACCTAAATTACTTCAGCCATAAGAACGGGAACTATGGAACTATTGGTAGTAGAAGGAAAGGTAGAAAATGTTTTTGAGAACTGCTTGATAAATAGGTTAACAGATAGTTTTCTCTACAAACTTGTCCAAAAAGTAAACTTTTATACACAAGGGTATTTATGCTAAACAATACAAAACATAGGTATCTTAAAAACTCACATGTGCGTCATCAGCATATGACTGAAGCGATATCTTGACGCTCATAGGCGTGATTAGCATGCAACGTGTTAAATAAGCTAGAGGTGGAACTCCCTATGATTGTATTAAAACATAATTAAAGCGGGCTAGAGGGAGCAATTTTTCGAAGGTTACAAAAATAAGGGGGCAAGAATTTGAAAATTACACTTGAACTGCATATACGAAAACAATTGTTTTATGCCAAAAAAATTCCAAAAAATACTTATCTCGCGGATTTAATTACACTTTTTGGTAAATAACTTTTTTAAATAAGAAAAAGGAAGAAAAAAATTATTGATTGTTGAATTTGGATATTTATTATTTGAATTATATATTACAATAATGTAAGTATATTAACAAAACAACGTTTTTTATAGAAAGTTTAAGAGTCCCTGAATAATATATATTTAATTAGATTATAAACACTTCAGTTTGGGAAAAATTTGCCTAATAATCAAGACTCACATAAAAAACCAAGGCAATCCTTTAATGGTGTATAGAAGTTTTATACTCTATTTCTGTTTCCATCTCAATCTCTTCCGTATCTTCTTCTTCCTGAATTTGTGTAACACTTTGAAGATCGGCCTCTTTTTCATACAGATTTATATTTTTTTCGTCGGTCCTTCTTTCTTCTTCTGATTCCGCATCCAACATATTTATGTTTAGGTTACTGAATGTTCCTCCACAGTCTTTATCTTCACTATCTTCATCAGTCAATTCCGTGGAGTCAGGAGATGCTAGGAAAATATCTCCACTGGAAACCGACTTCATAAGATTCGATTCTTCCAGCATGGACATGAATTTTATGTGCTCTTGATTCGCATCCAACATGTTTTTGTTTAGGTTATTGAGTATTCCTTCACAGTCTTCATCTCCACTATCCTTATCAGTCAATTCAGTTGAGTCAGAAGATGCTAGGAAAACATCTGCACTGGAAACCGACTCCATAAGATTCAATTCTTCCAGCATGGACATGAATTTTATGTGCTCTTGATTTACATCCAATATATTTTTGTTTAGGTTATTGAGTGTTCCTTCACAGTCTTCATCTCCACTATCTTTATCAAGCAATTCAGTTGAGTCAGAAGATGCTAGGAAAACATCTGCACTGGAAACCGACTTCGATAAGATTCGATTCCTCCAGCATGGACATAATTTTGTGTGCTCTTGATTCATAAAAAAAATTTTTAGGACGACTATTATTACTATTACGACCGAAACTGGTTGAGACAAGTTGATTTGACATCTTATTTCCACCTTCTAGAACAAAAATGATTTTTTGTACTAATAATATGCCTTGTGTCCAGTGTTGCGAAATTCAACACCGATAATTGGGCAGTTGTACCAACTAGCACAGATAAAATAATATCACTTTCTTGATAGATATATCCTCTGCAATAATTTAACAATACGTTGCTATCAAACACGAAATATTTATCCAGTTAATTTATACTCAAACGACTTACTACTAACTAAAAACACGTGTTTACAGAAGTCAAATTTAACCTACCACTTTCAATATGCCATCTGTTAATAGAAACCTAAATTCTGCGATCAATGCTCAATAAAACATACATAGGAAACTATTGTGAAATAAATCTGAACCTTGACTGCCCGAATAAGTCATGTGATTTTTAAAAAGATGACGTCATGATATCAACTGTTGCGAAAACGCAACGCTGGGCATGAATTCGTTAAAGGGTGTAGTATAAAAACGTAATATTCTCTTATAAAAATTGTGCCATCGCGAATTTATAAATCAGATATAGAATAAAAACAAGCCCTGACAGTATAAAAAATGTAAAAATAAATTAATTTAAACCCATTTTTAATTAAAAACTTAATACATTAAATCTTATATCCAAAATATATCTTTCCATTTTAAATCCAATTTATAAATAAAATTCTCTCAGTATACCGCTATGAGTATACACGTGCTTTATGATACTCCTACTTTAATATAATTGTTTGGATATTTTGTTTTTGTGTGTGTGGCTTAATTTAGCGAATGCTGTCCTAATCAATCGAATGAAATTACTTTTAAATTAAATATTTTTGTATACAAACCGATTCTTTTATTCTACTATAAGATAAAAACAATAAATACTTTCTATATAAATGGCACTTAATAAAGAAACAATGTATTTTTAGATGCATTTAAGCAAATGTCAAGAGGTTTATTGGAATACCGGAAAACAGGCACTCGACCGCAATATCTGAAATCGGCTATCGAAAGATACAATGAGCCTAACTTTTTTCAAGTACCAACAGGTACTTTTAAAAAATCAGAAGTATGTGATACATGTGCACTAATAGTAGATATGTTTTTGTACCAAAGAAGAATGGGAATGAGTGATGAAGATTTTAAAAAGGAACTTCTTTACTTTTGTAATCTTTACAAGGCATATCCAGAAAGAGTTTGTAAAGGAAGGGTAGATCTTAATGCTGTAAGTTAATAATTGAATATAATCGTCATTCGTAATATCATCATAAGATTTTTTAACATTATATGGATATATGTTTTTTTTAGCCTATATTTTTATACATAATTGATAACACACCCAAATTAAATGCAATCGATGCATGCGGAATAGCTTTACAATACAACGATTGTGCTCTTAATGCAAAATATAATTGGACCATTGATGTTCCTCTGGAAACAAAAGCAATAAAAACAAAGAAAGTAAGTAAACACTGGAAGTAAGTAATAATACACAAATATGTTTATGTCGTCTAGGATATTCTAGACTAAAAGTAGCTGAACCGAAACAATTTAAAACAAAATGCAAGTTTTTTACGTGACAATTTTCTCGCAATAAATCTATTAGAGAATTTGGTATATTGTTTATTGAACGTTCTCTATGGTATTTTGAACACTCAATTAACAAATGGACGACGCTAAGAGGCGTAGCACATAGGTCGCACACGGGGCGTTCACTGGCCGAAAGTAAATAAGAGTGTGTGATCTTAGTGTGTCCTATACGTAGGCGCGTTAGAACCGTTTGAGTAAACCGTGTACTAGCACTAGTGTTTACTCTGTCGTGTATCTGATTTTAGCCATCTTAATTTACATTGCGATAGAAACTATTCGTGCTGCCACTGACTAATCACTTTTTGTTTAAAAAACGTTTTGAAATATTTACATACACTCTCACGTTCTAATTCATATTCCGCACTTATTGTTACATCACGAGCACTACTGTCTGCCTCTTTATTGTAGATAATTCCTATATGCGATGGGATCCATATAAATTTAAAAGTTGTGTGATTCTCTTGGGCGATTTGTAGTTCAGTTGCTATATTGCAAGAAAAGAGCTGAGCGAGTCAGTGAAAAACAGAGGTTTTGAAATTCTTGAGAGTTTGCATATTTTAGTGCACGGTACAAAGCAAAAAGTTCAGCGGTAAAAGCACTTGAGCTAGGCGGTAGTTAAAATTTGAAAGTAAACGTTGGAGTAACAAATGCACAACCAATGCCATCATTAGATTTAGAGTCATCGGTAAAGACGTTGGTGCAGTTAAAGTAGTCTCGTTCAAGAATCTCGTTTAGTTTAATTTTGATTAGTACGGTATTATTGCATTTTTTGGAGAACTCTATTAAAGAGGTGTTGCAATTTGGGATGCTTATTAACCATGAAGTCGGATGTTGGATGTTACAGTGAAATACATCTGGGATTGTTGTGTCAAAATTATTCAGACTTCATCTTATTCATGTGAATAAGGTTTTCCTGTACGAGGTTTATTAAAGTGAAAGTCAAGATTATTTTTAGAAAAAGTATTTTCGAAGAGTGGATGATCTTTATAACCAGCTACAGAAAAATCGTGAGAAAGTGGTAAAGTGCCCGCCTATGCTACAATGATGGTTCTCCAAGCTTTCTATGGGTAAAGTGTGAAAAGCTCCGATAACGATTCGATGTGCGGCATTGTGGATAACGGTTTTAGGGTACTCTTGGTTGCGGAGGCATAAACAATTGAATCGTTCTTGAGTTTGGATCTAATTATTGTTTTATACAAAAGGAGTAATGCAGAGAAGTCGGAACCCCACAAATGATTTGATATGGTTTTAAGCAAATTGAGTATTTTGTTGCATGTTAGCGCCAAGTGCTGTATGTGCTTTTTTCCAGGAAAGTTTTTTTTTATTGAGTTTAATGCGTCAACAACTAATGGTCATTGACATGGTACAGTGAATTTTAACAGTCAAGTGTGTAGTGTGTGTGTATAGAGTAAATGTCTTGATACTTAGCACTTACACTTACAAGTCGACGTCATTGTCTTTGCTAAGAGACGCTAATTGTATCCGAACGTCTGCGGTCCCTCCGGTGAGTACCGATCGCCCAAGGATAGAAATTATTTTCATTTATTAATTTTTAATAAACAAAAATTTCCACCCAGGTGAGATTCGAACTCACGACCTTTAGGTTCAAAGGTAGGCGCTCTTACCACTGAGCCACATAGGGGGTTGAGGAAAGTTTTTGATCCAGCCACATACCAAGAAATTTCAAGATGTTTAGGAAGGGAATGATGCCGTTGTGAAGATATAGGACTGGTATAATGGATGATTTTTTCTTAAACACCATACCAATTGTCTTTGTTACGGAGAATTTAAAGCCTGTACCAGCTGTTTATTCATCTAGTTGGTTTAAAAATGTCTGTACTATTGTGCACGTAGATTCTTTTTGTACTCCGTTAATAAATACCACTAGATCGTCAGCATAGAGGCGAGCGTTGTGAGGTTTATGTAATTTGTTTAATATGTTGTTTATTCAAAAAGATAACAGTGACAAGAAAAATAGATATCTCACAAAAGAACCCTAAACAGAAAAAAGAAATAAGTATCAAGCTTGAGAAAGAAATAAAAAAAGATCGAAAACTTGATACAGACAGACATTGAAGTAACATAAACTGCTCTAAAAACAAAAATAACAAAGATACATAAAAAGACATCGGGTTCATAAAACACAACAAAAAACAAGAATGGATAACGCAAGAGATCATGGACCTCATAAAAGTAAGACGAAAACATAAAACAAGCCCAATATAATACAAGTGAATCAATAAAACCATTAGAAAAAAGTAAAGGAAGGCTAAAGAAAACTGGATGTCAACAAAATGTCTAGAAATCAAACAACTTCAGGAAAAATTCGACACCTTTAATATTCACAAAAAAATAAAAAAAATAACAGGTAGACACAAAAAGAGTCAAGCAACAATATTAAAAAATGATAATAACAAAATAATAATGGGTACAGAAGACAAACTAGAGAGATGGAAAGAATACATACAAACTCTTTTTGACGACGATAGACCTTGTTCTCCACCATTGACAGATAATCCAATAAATGAAAAAGACCCAGAAAACCCAAAGAAGAAGTAATTCACGCAGTAAAATCTCAGAAAGATGAAAAAGTCACCGGTCTAGACAATATCAATGTTGAAATTGCAGATAATGAAAGTAAAAGCATAGACTTAATAACAGCACTATTCAATAAGATATATTACACAGGTAAAATACCAACTGACTGGCTAATGTTAATATTCATAGCATTACCAAAAAAATCGAATTCATCACAATGCCATGATTATCGAATATTAAGCTTGATGTCTCATGTCCTTAAAACTTTTCTCTCAGAATTATCCATTCACGAATTTACAAGAAGTGCGAGTTTCAGATAGGTGACACTCAATTCAGATTTTGAAACAGATTGGGAACACGAGAGGCTCTTTTTGCTTTAAATGTGTTAACGCAACAATGCAGAGACATAAGTATAGATATATATGCATGTTTTATTGACTATCGAAAAGCATTTGACTGCGTTAACCATCAAAAGATGATCGAAACTCTGAGAACAACTGGAGTTGGCGAACAAGACTTGCGAATTATCTCAGAACTATGCTGGCACCAAACAGGAACAATTGAAATAGAGCACATAACATTCGGAGATATACAAATCCGACGGGGAGTGAGACAGGGCTGCGTCTCATCACCGCTACTGTAATTTATATTTGGATTCTATATTCAGAAAAGCATTAGACGAGGTCCAAGACGGAATTAAGATTAACGGAATCAGTATAGACAACACCAGATATATTAATGATGACGTCTTAATAGCAAGCAACGCACAAGAACTACAAAATATAATAAATGCGGTAGTTCAATACAGTGAAATGTTTGGTTTACATCTAAACGTTTGCAAAACTCAAACTTTAGTATTTTCAAAGACACCAATAAACGTACATGTGTATGCCAAAGGTCAAATAATAGAACATATAAATTCCATAAAACATTTGGGAGTAAATATCAATAGTCAGTGTAATCCAGAAAAAAAGAAATCCTATTAAGAATCGAACAAACAAGGAAAACATTTATGAACATGAAAACATTTTTTACAAGATCAGACCTTTGCAGTTTAGAATCAGAATGACCAGATGTTACGTTTTTTCTGTCTTACTGTATGAATGTAAAAATTGGACAATGGACTCTGAAATAGAAAAAAGAATAGCCTTCGAGATGTATAATATAGACGAATGTTGAAAATTCCATGGGTACAAAGAGTTACTAATGTTGAGGTACTTCGTCGCATATTTAAACAAAAAGAATTACTAGAAATAATCAAAGAGAGGAAAATAAAATACTTGGGTCATGTATTGAGAGACGAAACATATGAATTACTTCAAGTTATACTGGAAGGGAAAGTACAGTGTCACTGAAAAAATCGACAAAATTCTTAAATCAAGAGCAAAAAAGACAATATTTACATTTATAAAGACAACATTCTGAATAAACAATAAGGAGTTTATAAAATTCCTTATACAGACTGCCCCCGATCTTATATAGGCCAAACAAATGGTAGAATCCAAAAAGGATTTATGATCATTCCATTTCTGTTCGCAATTCCAGCTCAGAATTTCAGCTCTAGGTCAACACCATCTTCATACAGGTCACAACATTTATTGTAAAAACTCTAGACATATAGTCCTTATCCGCTTCCATAAACTCCGCCTGTTAATCAAAATCCTACTGTCAGAAAACTTCTCTTGGGAGATATGGTAAATCTAAGGCTTACTGAAATGTATTGGGCGATGTTACCTTTTAATCCGACAATACATCAACAGTTTACTACTGAAAATCACCACCTTTTGCACTCTTTACGTAGAAACGTTAAAAAGGCATTAAAATGAAAGTAAACGATTGCATGTCTTTTCAATTCAAGCTTTACCAATGTTTTAGGCGTATTTCGAGCTGTTCAGTCTAAAGGAACACTTTTGGTAACTTTTAACTGAAATGTGAAAGGCACATTCAGTATTAGTTTTATTTACAGTCATAAATTTTTATTTGCGGTAGATATATACAAAATATTTACTACAGCGTAAACAAACAAACTCTTGAGGTTAGGTTATGTTATCAATATTAACTATCATAATAGATTAGTTTATTATATTTGCGATAACTTGGTGATATTTGTTTCAACATTTATGTGATTTAAACTTTAATAAAAATCTTTGTGTGTGTTGATTTTTTTACATATATAGTTTATTACTCAGTAGTATTTGGCCAAAAGCAAACATATTTATTGCTTTCTTGTAAATTAAATTTTATAGAACCTTTTTTGGACTTATTTCGTACCAAAAAAATTATTTTGCAAAAAATACTTCTAATACATTCTTAAAACTTGTTTTAGGTAACATCAGAAAAAACGTTTAATATTCTTCATATCACCGATATTCATTACGATCCTAGATATACTGTCGGCAGGATAAATAGTTGCGATGAACCTGTTTGTTGTCAAGATGACCAACCTAACGCAACTACTTCCGGAGAAGCCTGTGGATATTGGTCTGACTATATTAATGCAGATATTCCATGGAGGACTGTAGTAAATGCCTTAAATCAAACTAAAAACCACGTAAGTATATGTAAATTATAAAATATTAATTGTTAAAATTAATACGGGACACAGAGTACAAGAAATATTATAGATTTTGTTTATGAAGTAAAATGTTTTGCTAGAAAGCAAAATACCAGAAATGTGAGATGATACTCGGGTAATACATTTGCATAAAAACCCAATATGATGAATATAGTACACTATAAATCGCTTAGTATGTTGTCCCACATGTACAAATTGTTAATACATTGGCAAAACTTAATTTTTTTGAATGATTATACCAAGTTAGGTTTAAAAAAGGCTTTAACATGGTGTACCCTCTGCAAACTCTTAGAATTTAATAGAAATCGCGGAATACAACTTCTTACTACATATGGTTTATAAAGACTATCAAAAGCGTTTTAGTTGGATCAAATTCTGGGTATTCTGGTTAACCATGGACGATGTAAGAATATACCCAAGAAACTTCATTGTTATTGGCAATATTTACAGAAATGCTATCTTTTACAAGAAAATCGAGGACTTTGGAACAGATAGAGTGAGAGAGAACATCTGTAGACAAAAAACGATAAGTGAATGATACAGAAGATAGTATCTTAGATAAATACTTTCTCAATCATGTTAAGTGTTTAGATGGTATTATTTAATAAATGCCGAAGAGTTAAAATCATAAACAAGCCAATTGGAGAGTATAGATAGGACTTTAAATAAATAATATGTGATATTAAAACCAAAATGGTAAGTAATTAAGAGAAACTAAAGTACTTAAGTTGTTCGAAAGGTTTAACTGCCTTTTGTGCTGCCTTCGGTATACCAAACTACATATTTAAAGATGGGAGAATATTTAAGTCTGCTTAGTTAATATACATAGCTGTTCAGGGTATTCGGAACATTATTTTATATAACCATATCGCCAGGTCCAGGTCTCGGCGTCATGTAATATCACCGACGAAATATAGAATTTGATCATTATTTGTCGCAATTTTAGATTTAAGTAATCGTTGCATAAGAATTATTTCATTTTCATCATCATCATCATCATCATCGTTATTATAATCATCATCATCATTCTCAGCGTATTCTACCGATTATGGCGCAGCATTCCTTACATAGTCTTTCTTTATTTCTGCCCATGATTGTTTAATATTTGCTTTTCTGTGCCATGTTGTACCGGCTTGTTTTCTTATGTCATAGTCCCATCTTAAATTTGGACATCCTCTTCCTCTACATCCATGTAATTCTAGTAGACCGTCTACTGTCAGTTCTTTCCTCTAAATGTCCCGCCCACTACCATTTAAAACATCTAAATCTGTGGATTCTGTGTGATCCATTATATTCTTCTTCGATCTCTCTTTGTTATACCTACTATGACTCACTTTACTGACCTTTGAGTGACGTTAAGTTTCGCTATTGTCTCTTTCTTTAACGTTTAAGTTTCGCAGCCGTATGTTATGATTGCTAGTTCACACTGATTAAATGCTTTTTTGTTCAGGTGGTGTGGCATCTTATAGGTCTGCATAACTATAAGTTCTTATAGGTCTGCAGGATTATTTGCAATCAGAACGAATGGATAAGTTTATTTTGCTGAATATATTTTCTAGAGTTGGACTGAACAGCTTTGGTGAGATTGCGTCTCCTTGTCGGACGCCTCTGGTAGTGAAAAATCCTTAATTGTTTTCATAAATTTTTACCTTAGTTTTTGCTTGTCTATATATATTTGCTTAAGTCATTTGCTAGTACAGTTTGTCATTGCCTTAGTTGGCAACGCCTTTATTATTTTCTTGGGATATATAGAATCGAAAGCCTTCTCATGAAAGTTAATCTATGAAGTTATATTCTTTGGTTTTACTCATTATTTATCAAAGCGTATGGATATGATCGAGGGTACTAAATCCACTTCTAAAGTCAGCTTGCCTCTTGCCTGTGCAGTATATCTTTGTGAATATCTTGTATATAATTAGTAGTAGACTAATAGGTATATAGGTTTTAATATCGTTTTTGCCATCTTTCTTATTTATGGGAATTATGATTGCTATATTCTAGTGGTCTGGTATAAATCTAGATCTTAGGCAGTAGATAAATATGCCTGCTAAGATTTTCCAGGTATTTGTGACAGCGTATTTAAGCAGTTCCACTGTTATGTCATATATTACACCTGCTTTACTGCTTCTCATTTTTGTAATTGTCGATTCTACTTCTTCCGGAAAGACTCCTGGTACATATTCTTCGTTTGTGACTGCTTCTTTAAGAAGTGTTTTAAGGGAGACTTTGTATAGTACGCTGTAGAATTTAGACACGAGTTGTATTATTTCATTTCTGTCTGTAATTCTGGTGTTTTCGTTTGATAGAGTAGCGATTTGCTTCTTCCAAATAATTAATGCTTTCTTGTTTTCTTATAACTTTTTTTTGTTTTCGATTACAGTTTCTACCAGTCTTTCATTGTATTTTCTTATGTCTTTTTTCATATTTTCCTTTATTGTCTTACAAAGTCATGAGTTTTTAATCTCTGTATGTTGCGCTAGGTACTTTTACTCCTTTTCTTAGTTTTAGCATTAACTTGGTTTTATTAGACAGTTTACTATGTTTATTTTACTGTTGCGATCCTCCGATTTCTTTGGCACTATCAAGGATTATTTTCGTTAATTGACAGCTGTAAATTTGGTGATATAATCTTTTATCACTTGTCCTTTGGTAGTGATCTGAATTTACTTTTATATCGTTAATATTTGTACCGGTTATTGTTGGTTTTGTCATTAATGTTATTCTTACCTAATTTCAGATCTAGAACAATTTTTACTCTGATTAGTCTATGGTCGCTGCGTATTTGAAATTGAAATTTATTTATTACACTGACAGCTTTTATTGTAGAAATCTTGTTGGTTAAAATAAAGTAAATTTTGTTATTAGTGGTTTTATTTAGTGTTACCCAAGCCCATTGTCTGTTCCATTTAAAAATATATATATTAGCCATAGCATGTTTTGGTAGTGTGCAAACTGAACCAGTCTTGCTCCCCTTTCATTTCTCTCACCGACTCCATACTTTTCCGTGACTTGGCCTTTGCTTACTTTATATTTTTCAGAATTACGACTACGTATATTTCACTGGAGATATCGTGCCTCACCGATTATGGGACACAAGTGTGGAAGATAACAGCAAAATAATATCTCAAATATTGGACGCCTTCGCTGATTATTATAAAGTTCCTGTTTATCCTACTTTGGGAAATCATGAAGCAAACCCAGTCGATAAGTATGTCCTGATAAAATTTTAGCTATTAGTATACTAATCTATTGTGGGGGCAAAAATATAACACGACATATCTTATGCCCGTAATATCTTAACCATCGTCAGATGCTGAGTCAAATTCTTAGCCTTCGAAAGTCGATTTATGATTTTGTTTATGATCTTGCTGTCATAACTTTAACGGTATTATTTATGGATTTTTAGCAAAATATTGTTGTTGTAACTACTTATATTACCCTATAATTTAATTATTTAAAAAAATGCATTGAGTTCAATCGTCAGAGAGTTGACCTCTAGAAATAATACGAACAAGCTGAATTTTGGAGAGAATAATAATTTTGTGACCCCAAAAGAGATGCAAAAAAGTTTACCACTTTTACCCCCAGACTTCCCGCTAAAGTTCCTCTCGCAGGGGGCAAAACGCAAAAAAATCGATTTACCAAGAATCTGTACTTCGTAGAGAAAAATGTTTTAAATTAAAAATGTAGCTGAGATAATATTAAACAAAAATGTTAATGATTATGATTGTTATGTTTAAAGTATCTTACAGTCTCTGTGGTGTTTATGGTTTGGTATTACAATACTGGATCACTAATTAATAAAATCTTTTTTTTTTTTAATTAATTTGCGAAACATATAAAATCTTAAAATGACAATAAATGAATAATAAAATTAATTATTTCAGTTCTAAAAAATACAGACCACGTAGTATGGAGCTTCGGGCTAGTCTGCAGTACTGCCTACTGTACCAATGTTGTCACATACTAAAAACTTCTAAAATTACTTAAAATATACTCCGCCTCCTCCTTAGTCCTAATCCCTTTTGGGATGTGGTGACACTTCATCATCAATCAGCCAATCGCGTCCACTGCAGGACATAGGACTCCCTCAGTTCTTTCCAGTGTTCTCTACACTGGGCTGCTTATAGCCACTTTTCCGCTACACGTTTTATATCATCGGTCCATCTAGTCGGTGGTAAAATATACTACACGTAGTCTGTGAATTTTATTATATTACTGAATAATAAGGTTCCTGTATGTTACAAAAACATGAAAAAGGTCTTAACTGTGTTTAAAAAATTACTATTTTCTTTAAATTTGTATTTAAAAGAAAACAAACACAATTTAAAGTAAGGTTATATATTTAATTTCTTGTCTAAAAGTGACTTATTATCAAAAAGAAGCAAGATTTATTCTAACGTCTGCTCTCATTAAGTTTTTTTTTCAATGGCTCTATATAATTTTGCGAAAACGGTTACTAAATAATTTATTTATAAAATAATTCTTCTATTACTACTACATGTAGCATTATATGAGTTTTACTATTATTTTAGTTACTCCGAAGAAACAGATCCCTCACTTTCAAGTAAATGGTTATTTGAGTTACTTTTTCAAAAACTATCTAAATGGATGCCCATTAATGAAGTCAAAGATACAATATTAAAAGGAGGGTATTATACAGTCTCGCCTAAGAAAGGGCTAAGAGTTGTTGTTTTAAATAATAATGTTTGCAATTCAGGCAATTGGTAAGTGTTTTGTTATATTTAGGGCTATTTTTTGGATACTTCATATTTAAACATATTCACACAATATTTACCTAAACTATTATCATATCTGCTTTAGGACTTTACATTTTACGGTATAATTGGTGAAATTCCATTTCACTCGATATAAAATTTCAACCATGCCGATATTGCAATTCTTAGAAGGAATAAAGGAAGATATTTAATGGTACTTCTTGTTTCGCTTATTATTATATTATATTTGTAACTAAGTAGTTCGCATCGCATTATTATTCATAAATATTATCAAGCCAATCAGAGTTTTCTAAAACCGCATTTATAATTTTCATATAAACACTTCATTTATTCAAACCAGCAGTGTTGCCAGCAGTTTGCTTTGAACATAGGAACGAAATTCCGCTAAGCAATTCTACTTGTAATTATATAATAGCGAAAAGAGCATCAGTGAAAAGTGTAGTGAAGTATCCCATATCACAGTGTTTTTTTACTGTGACACAATCTTTTGTGTATCTGTGACACGGTTTCAACAATCTGTTTTTCATTCCAGACCTTGGCTAGTGGTCCTTCGTCCTTTAATTCTTTAAATGAGTTAGTAATATATAGACTTCGGCAAATATGCAAATAAAAATGTAGAAAATATGCGCATAAATATGCACTTGTTTACCCGAAAATATGCAAATATTTTACAAAATATGCATACAAATAAATAAAAAAATCGTAAAATAGTAACAATTTTATTAAAAAAAAAAGTGTACATAACTAAATATTTCCTACTATTCATTAAGATTTACATTTATTTTAAGTAACTACATCATTTTTAAGTATGAATAAACTTATTTAGAATTATGGTAACAATAAATGACCAAGTGGTGTTCAAAATTTTCTAACAAAAACTTGTGGCTTCTGTCTGAGTACATATATTTATATATGGAAAAACTTCGTTCAACATCAACTGATGTAACGGGAGGATTTTTCAAACTAACCAAAACATTTGGTTCTAAATTAATTGTTTCCGAAATATTTCCAGCTAGAACACTGACTACTTCAGAAAGAATATGGTAACCTTTATTTTTTTCCATAGTAGCTTCAAATTTTTTTAAAATATCTTTTCCAATATTACCTCTAACGTTCCGACAACATGACGCAAATTCTTTTATTAATGCTGTACTTTCGAACAATGACAGTTTTGGTGATTCTACACTGAGTAATTGTTTTTTGAACAAAACTAAAATTTGATTTTATAAATGAAAGTTCTTGTTGAAGCAAGTTACTCTGAAAAGTTTGTTTAGAATCCAAAAGAGATTGGGAACTTTCATCTGTTAACGTATCAATTATGTTCTTTATTTTAACAAAATGATCTGCATAAAAATTAGCTGCTTCTAACCATGTTCCCCATTGTTGTGGTGGAAGAGGAATGTTGGGTAGCATTTCTTTATAAAGTTGAATTCTTATAGGAGATTTAAGAAATACTTTTTTGACACTGGATATCATGGTATTTACAAGAGGAAACTTTTTTCGTATTTCCTTTGCAACTCTGTTTAATCCATGCGCTACACAAGTAACATGTATTAAATCTGGGAAAAATATTTTTAAATTTTCATAAGGAGCAGCATCCGATAAAATAAGCAGTAATTTATTAGAAGGAATAGTTGTCGGAAGAAAAAAAGTTGCTAATGTTTCTTGTATAAAACGCGAAATTGTTAAAGCATTTGTTTTCTCAAGTTGCTGGCATGAAATAAGATGAGATTTTGGTAAAGTATCTTCTTTAAGAACACCAATCAATAAATGAGTAATATACTTTCCTGAGGAATCAGTGGTTTCGTCTACAGATATGTATAAATAATTATCTGCAATTTCTTCCTTAATATTAATTAACACCGACGAGTATAGCCCGTTCACATTATTTCTTCTTAGAGACCGATCACTTGGAACATTAAGTTTGCAATATTTTTTAGAAACGAACTAAAATTTACATTTGCTAATTTTAAAAGCAATATGTTTGCAGACACTAAAGCGCGACACAAGTCTTCATTAAAAGTTTCTTGCTCATCTAATTTTTTTGAAGTAGATTGGAAACATTTAGCCATTGAAGTTTGATGTTTTCTTCCTATTTTTCCTTTTTTTGCAATGTGTGAAGCAGTTCTCACATGTTGGTCTATCTGAAATTTCTTCTCACATGCTATCTATAAATAAAAATAAAAACCTTTATTTTAACCCAACCTTTAAAATATAAAAATATACAAGGTATTTTTGGTTAATCAAATAACTGGTTTGGAAAAAAAACACTCGCTAAGTGTTTTAAATGCAGTATTAATCCACAAATTAGTTTTTGTTACTAACCATTAGTACATCATATAACTTATTTTAAACAAAAGTTTTTTTTTGTTAATTCAATTACAATAAAAATAATTGTGTTTTAGAATAGCTGACTTCATAAAAAAAGTAAAGGTGAAAAATTTTTCTAAATACACACCATTGTATTGTACCATGGACAATTTTTTCTCACTAAAGGAAGCTATTTTTCATTTAAAAACAACCTACGAGTACTAAATTTCAAGTAAATACGTTTATTGGTTTTAAAGTTATTGTTGTTATTAACTAAAAGAATTTAATTTTTTTTAATTTTAACACCCTGTATCTCGAAAAGTAAATAAGTTTGACCCCTTATTAACTATATCGTTTTGTTCAATTTTTCGAGAAGTATCTACAGTCAAACGTTGTAAGTGTCATTTGGAAACACCCTGTATGTATGAAATATTAGATATTTAATAGAAAATATTAGATACTTACAATTTTGCCACAGACTGAACAGTAGATTTTTCCCATATCCATAGACAGCTCTTTATAAGGTTTAATCCAAGTTGAAGCACTGGTTGTTTTAGGCATTATAAAATCACAATCTTCCTTTTTGTTACGCACAACGAGTGTTTACGCTTTGAATATCAAAACAAAAATGATTTACAAATCTGAGCATTAAATTAGAAATGTTTAGGTACCTAATTAAGATACAATAAATTCTAGCTAGATTTGGGGATTAGATCATAAAATGCAAATGAGCGAACCCTTAGCGATTATCCAATAACTGAATGCCTCAGTGACCGAGACTTTCTAAGAATGTTGATGGGCTACTTAAATTGATCTTCTTTGAAATTGTAAATATTTTGTACCTGTAGAGATTACGTACTCAGATCATTTCTTGATTAAAATGACTATAAAATTTGATAAAAGAATTGAAATAAATTGGTATGTTTAAAAATTTTCAAATACAGTATAAAAATCTGAACTTTTATGCACTTTATGCAAACTTTTACACAAATATGCCAAAATATGAAATATTTGCATAAAATATGCACAATATGCAAATTATGCAATATGCATATTTGCCGAAGTCTAGTAATATATTATATATATAATATAATGTTTATCTTCATTCAAATTTTTATGATATAAAATTAAAATAAGCGGGTAACTGCCGTAACACTGGCTGATCTAACAGTCTACATAATATAATACCTAACACTTTAAATAATCCTTGTCTAAGGAAAGTCGTAGAATCTTCATAGAGATCATAGTCATAGTTTTAGAATAGAATAGAATCCATGTCCCAAGTAAGCGTAGTTATTCCGGTCCTATCCAATATATACCCAAATGAGCATCCAAAAACAAAAGTAAACTTCAAAGACACTTCATACAATCAGAGATTCTGCTGAAGTAGCAATAATTTTTGACCAGATAATTTTAAATTAACAGATCTTTTTAACCAAAAAATACTGTCACTATTATTTTTCATGCCGAAAGTTAGGATCGAAATTATTTTTTCGTTTCAAAGACTTATTACCAGTAAACTTTATTATAACCAACGGTTTGAATTGTGAAATAAAAAGTTTCCACTCTAGTACTCAATGTATCAGTCAGTCCTTAATTTTATTGCCTTACAGTTTCATTTGATGCAACACTTTATAGCTCTTTGAAGTTATAGCCTTTGACGTTACAAAATGAAAATCCATTTTTCAATATCTCGTTCAAAGTGTTTGATATTTTTAATGGGAATGGACACGTGGCATTCTTATAGTTCAAACACGTGTAAAAAATACCAAAATCTGCGAATCTTGTAAAACTTTTATATCTTCTGTTTTAATCTTATAAGTTATGCTTTTTAAATCACCTGTTTGTGTGCGCTACAATTAAATTCACATTTTAGCAGCATTAACAGGGGTTTTAAAACTAGTAGTTTTAAGAGAAGCTAATTTTTATCGATGTACTGTCCATTTTTCCATTATGTATATTTCAATTTTTTTTTATTATTTAAACATAGAGAACCCACATCAACCACCAAGAGTTATTAGTAAGGGGACATACACAGTAGTACAGTTTGATAAATTAAAGTTTATTATAAATGTCTATGTCTTTTAGAAACTGCAATAAATCCGAGATATTTGTCGTAAGCGCACTTCTCAGGTTTCGACTAATTCCTCGGCATGTTCTCTGAGGTTGGAACTGCGGACAGTCGACTATCAGATGCTTCACGGTGAGTTGAGTAGAGCAGTAGCTACAAATCGGAGCTGGTTCTTTATTTAGGTGTTGGTGTGTTAGTATTGTGTGGCCGATTCGAAGACGATTTACGATTACTCGATCTCTTCTTTTTCCTTATTGTGGTAGGCCGACCGACGTCTACTCGAGGCTTTATTGTTTTTAACTTAGAGTCTGTTGTGTCCTAGGTTGCTTGCCATAAATTTATTATGGCTATTATATGATTCATGGACTGTCGTTTGATTAGTTCCATGAATTGCGCTGAGTGAATCTCTGATGATTAAAATATTATTTTCAGTTGTTGAAGAGGAGTTTTTAATAGCTTCTAACATCGCTGTGGTTTCCCCGGTGTAAATGCTGCAGTGCTGTGGAATTCTAATGGCATATTTGTAATTCTTATTTGTGAAGGCTGCGGTATGGCCATTTTCAGTTTTTGAAGCATCTATGTATATTATGTGGTGATTTGGATACTTCTTCATAATTTCTTTGAATGCATTACTGATAAGGTTAGGATTTGTGGGAATTTTTTGAAAACTGTGTTAAAGGTAAGGGGGTAAACCATGGAGGGAAGTCTAATTTAGTTGTTATGGATAATTTAAATTCATTGCAATTGAATCCTTTTTGATTGATTATTTCCCTAAAGGGTTTGTCTTTATATTGTTTGTTTCTATACAAATTGGATTTAGGTGCGTTAATAATCTCAGAATATAATGGGTTCTTTTTAGTGGAAGATTCTTGCATAATTTAAACTAAGTAGATGTCGTCTTAGATGTAGAGGAGTTTCTCTTGATATTACTTATAAACTGCTTACAGGACTGATTCTGAAAACACCGACAGCTTATCTTAGAGCTATTGTTTGAATTGTGTTAAGGTTTTTTGGGAACGTTTTATTTGCTGTACCGTAGCATATTGCACCGTAGTCCAGTTTACTGCGAATAATGGATTTGTAGAGGTTAAGCAGAATACTAGAATCAGCTCCCCATATATTACTGGATAGAATTTTTAGCAAGTTTATTCTATTTTGACAAGTGAGTTGTGAATTCGTAATGTGGATTTTCAAGTTTAATTTGTAATCAAACGTTAGATCCAAAAAATTCGATTCCTCTGAATGAGATATATTTTGACCGTTAAATATTAATGAAACAGGAATGGTGTTCTTGAGTTTGCTGAATACTGTGTAATGTTACTGTGTAATTAGTTGGAAAGAGGAAGCCTGTTTTAGAAGACCATTTTTCGATTTTGTATAGAAGGTTCTGTAGTATTTTTGCCCCAGAAGTAATATTTTTGCATTTAATATAGACAAGTAAATCATCAGCGTACAAGTTTGCTTTTATAGGAGGCTTAATTGTATTTATTACATTGTTAAATGCAATTAAAAATAAAGTTGGGTTTAAAATAAAACCTTGTGGAACACCGCTGTCGAGTAGTCGAGTCTAGTGGTAGATGTGTATCCATTTACTCTTACTTGTATTTCCCTTTTATTCAGAAAGTTTTTTATAAACGCAAGCATATGTCCTTGAACACCTCATTTATCAAGTTTATTTAATAAGAGGTACAACACTTAACAACTGATTCAACTGATTTATATATCCTCAATTCGCCTGTAACTTATTCTTGAAATTTTGAAATTTAATTCATTTACATCTATATTTCTTGCAACCAATATAGCCCGTTCGCTCAACCAATCATGGTTTCTGTAATTTTAAGGAACATCTGGGAAACACCTTCTGAAAACCAACCTCGGTTTGTTTGACAGGTGCAACGACGTGAAAACTGATTTAAATTATGTCGCATTCCGAAACTAAAACAAAAGAAAGCATACTGTAAGGCCAATCAAATCTATAGCTCTTACATTTTTTGATTTTTTAATTTGGTCGTGTTCACGATATTATCAATTTTGTGTAAACGCATTAGATCCTCCAACGCGAACACGCACACACACTAACGTGCACACACACGAACGCGAACACACATACATTTGATTGAATTTGAACTTTGTGCAGCGACAATAAAGTGCAAATTAGATATTCGACATTAGGAACTTTATTGAACAGCAATAAATTTTAAATTGACTCTACATTTGGTAAGAATATATTTGTATGGGAAAAGAAAAGAGTTGTTTAAGGGTTTTCCCGGAAATTATTTGAATTTTTCATGCCGTAAAAACCATCCTTTGACTTCAAGGAACATTTTAAAAAAATCAATATAAGGTTAAATGTTCGAATAATTGAACTTTGATGGTATATAAGGCAAATATCGAACACAGTAATTAATTGCCCAAGTACTTTCGTACTAAATCTTGCCCAAGTACTTTCGATCAATAAATCATCCTCAGGGGCATTTCGTCAGTTGTGGCCTATCCGACATGAGCAGAATGTCATACATGTAAATTTGGACATAACAATACCATACACAAAGACAAACAAACACTTTAAAATTTTTAAAAATGGAGAAGCTACATGTTATATATGATTCTGTCTCCGGCTTCTATAAACATGTAGCTTCTCAATTTTTAAAAATTTTAAAGTGTTTGTTTGTCTTTGTGTATTGCATTGTTATGTCCAAATTTACATGTATGACATTCTGCTCATGTCGGATAAGCCACAACTGACGAAATGCCCCTGAGGATGATTTATTGATCGAAAGTACTTGGGCAAGATTTAATTAATTACTGTGTTCGATATTTGCCTTGTATACCATCAAATTAAAAAAAAAATAATTATTAAGATTGGTCCATGTGTTGTTGAGTAATGCGCTTACCAACACATTTTGCGATTCATTTTTATATAATAGATTATTGAATACAAAGTTCTATCAAATAACCGTTAATTCTAAATTAAACAATGTTGTTATTCATATAATACTTTATATTCCATTTTTTATAGGTGGATTATTCATCAACCTAACGATCCCTATGATCAACTTAAATGGTTATCAAACGTGCTGCTGAAAGCAGAACAAGATAATGAACGAGTACATTTATTGTATCATATGCCCTCTGGACAGGACGAATGTTACAAAATTTGGTCCAGAGAATACAGGAAAATTATTGAAAGGTATTTATTATGGATTTGTGTCATTTCATCCTATCATTTTGTATAATCTTTTGATACTGGCATAGACGGTCTGCTTTTGTTCCAATATTGTTTGATTAGTGGGGGAGAAATGTACGTTTCAAATATTAAAATTTTAAGGCATCAAATTGTTTAATAAAAAAAGATTTTTTAATTAAAATTCAAAAACTTCCTTAAATTTCCAAAAAGTTATTACAATGACAACACAAAAAACACATTCAAAGTTTTGAATAATTGGTAATAAGGATATATATTTGTAATTGGTAATAAGGTAATAAGTATATTTTTTACATTTCCAGCGGTTATTAAAAAGCTTGTGATATCTCCACCGAATTTTGGTTTTTACGGAATAATATTTGTAATTCCTTTTTGTGAAAAAATACTAGATGCTTCCTTACACCTGACGTGTTTCTGTACAATTTACACAAAACAGTTTGAAATGCATGAATTATTTCGAAATACTTATCAAAGGTCTTTTAGATCTATAACTCCAACTCTTACTACTCCGACTAGAACTATTTGAATTTTCGTCCTCATGTCAAATTGTAAACTTGTCACTCCGGGAACAACAAGAATTAGATGAAATATAATTATAACATTATGAGTGGAAGAAAAGCTCAATTGGCAATGAAGTTAAGTGATCTCGAGAAAGTAACTACTACTAGTTACTTTATATTCGTTACTATTCAATACCCTATTTACTGAATAACAAACCAAGAATTAAATATCGTTACTTCGATATTCTAAATATTTCGGTATTTTGTTTACACGGTAGCCTCGTCTCGTTATTAGCCGAGCTCTTTCAGCAAATTTTGTTTAACCGAATGATCTCATCGCACACTCAGCAGAAACAATGTTTAGTCATAGGCCGACAAGATTGTTTATTTAGAGATTATTTATTTTGATTCCTCCTAAGTGGGTATCCTAAATAATAAGCATTATATTTTTTATTAGTTAAGGTAACATATTTTTAAAAAGTTTCGATACGATATTACTGTCGGGGTCGCAATGCAAGAAGATTATTTTATATCGCACTTGCAATTTTTATTGCATATTTATATGCGTCTCATAGGGTCTTTAAGCATATAGTCGAACTACTATACTCGCTAAAACGACACGCAGTCCTAACTACAAGACGCAAGAGTCCGCAGGGTTAGTCTTGTTCTTACTTAAGTCTTGCATGGTCAGTCTTTGTCTTGGTCTTAAAATTAGGCGGTCTTGGTCTTGTTCTTGGTCTTACGAGGCAAGACCCAGACTGCAAGACCAAGACCGATTTTGGGCAACACTAATTAAAATGCAATTAGAAGGGTGCTCTTACTTAATCATCTAAACATTTTAAGATATTAACGAAACTTAACACAACCCTTTTTTTTCGGTTTAAGTCTGGAGAACATAATTACACAGCAAATGTCGCAGAAGAAGAGGTTTCGTTATTCAAACATACTATTATTACCCATGCTAGCAATTCTCGTGATCCACCACACTAAATTATATCTCAAAAATCAAGTAAAATCAGTGACACCGCGAAGGTAGCGTTACCATATGTATCATCAAAGACAATTATCTAAAATATTTGTGCAAAAGTGAACACAAGTCCAGCCATTCCAAGTAAAAGAGAATACATGGTTGTACCAATGCAAAATAAACGTACAGCAACATGTGATGAATTTCTTGTATTTGATTCTGTGCAAGAAGAGGATCGTATTTTAATTTTTTAACAAATAAAAATGTGCAGTTGTTAGGATAGTCTAACACTGGTACGCTGATGGGAAATATAAAACAGTCCTATCCCTGTTCTGTCAGTTATACACTATTCATGACGTATCAAGTACGGTTATTCCATTAATGTCAATGTTATTGTCCAAAAAATTAGACGAAACGTATTCGTCTGATAAAGCTATCTAATTAGCCTTCTTCGGTCCATCTTTGGATATAGGTCTCCCCAATCTCTCTTATCCACTCGTTTCTCTTTTTATCCATTAGTCTTATATGCAACATTTGTCTTTCCATTGCTCTTTGGGTTTTTATGATTTTGTCCATGTTTGCTTTTGTAAATGTCCACGTTTGGGAACCATAAGTAAGAACAGGGAGTACGCATTGATTGTATACTTTGGTCTTAAGATGCTGTGGATATCTTTTGTTTTTAAGAATGTAGCTTAGTTTGCCAAATGCCGCCCATGCCAGTCTAACTCGTCCCTTTATCTCTGCTGTTTGGTTCTTTTTGTTAAGTTTTATAGTTTGACCAAGATATGCATAATCCTGAACTTGTCCTATATATTTCATTTTGTCCGATTCTCATTGTGATGTCTTCATCTGTATTTGTTATGGTTTTGGTCTTCCTGTAATTCATATTTAGGCCTATCTTTCCAGCTTCTACGTCCAGTTCTTTCATCATTTCAAATAATTCTTCTTTTTTATCAGTTATCAATACGATATCATCAGCGTACCTTAGATGGGTCAAGCGTTGTCCACAAATTTTTATATCTTTTTCTTCCCATTCTAATCTTTTAAAAGTATCTTCAAGAGCCTGATTGAAAAGTTTCGGTCACATTGTATCACCCTGTCTCACGCCTCTATTTATTTGTATTGATTTTGTTCCTTTCTTCTTCTTCAAGTGCCGTCTCTATCAATGAAGGTTAGCGGTTATGGTGGCAAACGTTTGTCTATCTTCAGCTGTTCTTAAGAGTTCCTCAAATCCAAGTCCTGTCCAGTTTCTGATATTACGTAACCAGGACAATTTTTTTCTTCCAATTCCTCGCTTTCCTTCTATTTTGCCTTTTATTATCAACTGAGGGATGTAGTATTTCTCGTTGCGCAACAAATGCCCTAAATAACTGGTTTTTCTTCTTTTGACTGTTCTCAATAGTTCTTTTTCTAAATTGAGTCTAGCTAGTACTTCTTCATTTGTTTTTCGTGCTGTCCAAGGAATTTTTAAAATTCTACGGTACACCCACATTTCAAATGCCTCGATTCTATTCAGGCTCTTTATTTTTAAAGTCCACGTTTCGACTCCGTAGAGAAGAACAGACCAGATAAAACATTTTACAAGTTTTAATCTCAATTTAATATTTATATGTGTATCGCAGAATAGAACGCGCATCTTAAAGAAACTATCCCTAGCTTGAGCAATTCTCGCTTTAATTTCTTGTTCTGGGTCCAGCTTGCAATTAATCTAACAGCCAAGGTATTTGTATTGGTTTACCTGTTCTAAAATATTCCTATTTATTTTTATAGGTAAGGGGATATTCTGTTTTCTTTGGATCACTATTACTTTTGTTTTTTTTTTTCGTTGATCTTCATTCCAAACTCTCGACAAGCATCCTTAAGGTGGTCTATAACCCCCTGTAAGTTTGTGTCTGTATCAGCCAGTAGGACAGTGTCATCTGCATATCTTATGCTAGATATTGGTTCTCCATTAATTTTTATTCCTGTGGAAAGGTTTTCCAAGGCTTGCTTGAATAGTAGTTCCGAGTAAAGATTGAACAGCATAGGGGATAGTATGCATCCTTGCCTTACTCCTTTATTTATACTAATATTTCTAGATGTATGATCGTCGATCCTAATCTTGGCACTCTGCCTCCAATATAAGTTCTTAATTAATCGGAGATCTTAACTATCCAAGTTGATGCTCTGCAAGGAAGCATGTTTGTTCCTTCATATACTTAAATTGTTGTTTTGGCTTCCTTATATATATTGGCTATTAGTTCCGTACATCTGTGGTCAATTCTGCTGTTAATGAAAGAACTATTCACTGCCCAATGTTCGACTCTGTCGAAAGCCTTTTCGAAATCTATGAACGCCATATATAGAGCAGTGTGGTATTCATTTGCTCGTTCTATAAGTATTTTCATACTTAGTAAATGGTCACTTGTGCTGAATCCCTTTCTAAACCAGATTGTTCTTTTGATTGGTATCCATCGAATTTTGTTGTCAATCTATTGATATTGATATCGATCTATACTGATAAAGCTAAAGAATTAAAAATTGAAAAAAAAAACAAAAAAAAGTGGAAGACTAAAAAGCATGCTTCCTCGTAGTGTCTTGTAGGTAGGGCTAACGGGCTTTCTAATTATTCTGTTATTCCTGATAATAATATTTTAAAATAAATTAATTTTTTACCAATTTATTCATATAATTTCGGTGAATTGTGCTTTCAGTAAATTATGTTTCGGTAAAATGTTTTCGGTGAATTTTTCGTCTACGGGGTGCAAACACCCATCCACCTGGAGAATGCTGAGGTGACAGGCGGACTAGAGTAGAGAATAACAAGGGTTTTGGTAAGCTAATAAGCATACCAATGAACCACTGATAAAAGTTTGTTCCATTTTTGTTAGAATATTGTTAAAAATTCATAGATATCGAAGTAAGATTAAAACTGAACATTAATTAGAACAGAATCATTTGTTTTTTATATATGAATATTTACCGCATCTATAGCAGATCTAGACTATAAAAGTTTTGTTTTAATGATTTTTTATTTCCTTGTGTCAATATTCACCGTTCTTTTCTGCACTAATAAAACAGGCTAATTATAATTGGTCATGGTTTTTATAACGTTGAAAGCAAATATTTGAAAAACTTAAAAATAATGGAAAATAAAATACTGTTTTCTTACATTTTAGATTTTCGAAGATAATTGCTGTTCAGTTTAATGGCCACACTCACAGAGACGAATTCTATGTCTACTATAGTAAATCTAACTCCAGTGAAGCTATCAATATGGCATGGAATGGAGCATCAGTCGTAACTTATGACAAAGCGAATCCAAGCTATAAAGTTTTTTCAATTGACGGAAATACATTCGTAAGCGATTGATTTTATCTTATTTTTATACGACGTGAAGTAGTTTTAGTACGATTTAAACTATTTTCCTTTCAGGATGCGCTTGATTTCGAGGAATGGACATTTAATCTTACTTTGGCCAATTTAAATCCAAATAAAAATCCTGAATGGTACAAGCTTTATTCGTTCAAAGATGCATTTGGCGTTAAAAGTTTGGAAGCGCAAGAAATCAATGATCTTGTAATGAGAATGACCCAAAAGCATGAACTTCTCGACCAATATTACAGGTAAATGGAAGTTTTGGATTTAATTTAGATTTTATTTATTTAATTTTTAAAGTTTTCCAGATGTTGGAATTATTGTTTTTTTTGTGTTTTTGTTTTATTTTTGTTTGTTTTTTTTTCTCAGCAATGGGATATTGTTTTTTGTAGCAATATTAAAGAAATGTTAGAATAAATGGGTGTATATAATTAAGATGGTGAACTTTCTCCTAGACGAACAAGGTGGCTATACAAAATATCCTTGTTTCCTGTGCGTTTGGAATAGCAGGACTAAAGACCAACACTGGAGTAGAAGAAAATGGCGTTTTATGGCTTTAGTTCAAGGAGAAGCTAACGTAATTAACAAAGTATTGGTCGAGAAAATAATATTACCTTCAACACAGACATATTTCTTCTTCTTCTAGTTCTTATATAAACATTACTCTGTTTTTCAACGTGCCCCCAGTAAGTTGTCATTCCATCATTTTCGTGGTCTTCCTACTAATCGCCTTCTTATTGGGCAAACGTCTCTTGCCGTCTCTACTACTCTATTTGTTGTCATTCGGCTTATATGATTGTTTCATTCTACTCTTCTATTTCTTACCCAGTTTTTGATGTTCTCCACCTTTCATCTAGTCGTATATCTGTACTTCTAGCTATGTTTCATAGTATCTTTTCTTCAATTTTTCATCTCTGTGTTTTTATCTCTGCTGTTTCTAACATCATTTTTGTCCTCTCTGTGTCAGGTCTTGTTTCTGCCGCATATATCATTATTGGTCTGATGACTGTTTTGTAAATTCTGCCTTTCGTTTCTTTCCCGATATTTTTATTTCTCCATACTGTTTCATTTAGGCAGCCTGCGGATCTGTTTGCTCTATTCACTTGATCTTCACAGGCTACAAACATAAATCATAAATGTTCCAATGTAGCATTAACACAGACAATGATGCCTATATATTCATCCGTTCATATAGTGAAAGAAACATAAATCGTTTTATTCAAACCCTTGAGTTAACAAATTGGTCAGAGGTATTTAATACAATTTCTGTTGAGGATAAATCATTAGCTTTTTTAAATACTATCCAAAATTACTTTCAGTCCCATTTTCCACTACTTAAATGTAAACCTAAAAAATTTACACGTTCGAATTGGTTTACGCAGGAACTGTACAATTTAAGAGATCAGCTAAAACTTTTAGAAACGATCTGTCAGCAGTAGTAGTAGTAGCAGTAGTAGTAGTAGCAATAGTAGTCTTAGGCCAGTCCTTTATTTGGCAAAGGCAGAATATTTAATTAAATTAAAAGCTGCTAAAATTAGTCACTTCACGAGACAGTTAAACGAATCATCAAATAAAATTAAATGTATTTGGCGTTTAGTAAACTTAACAGTCGGGAAACAAAATTACTCAAAAGTACCTAGTGATGATAACAGTAATTTAGTAGACAAATTTAACCACCATTTTGTTGAAATGGCTCCAAAGTTACTTGCCGCTTTGGATCCTACTAAAATAGATGGGTTTGCATTAGCATCAAAAAACCGTAATAGTTCTTCTATGTTTTTATATCCAACTAACCCACAGGAAATAACTAGTATAGTCGGAAGTTTTAAATCCAAACACAGTTGTGGTTTTGATCAGATTTCCCCAAAGTTATTAAAACAATGCATTCATGCTCTCGCAGATCCACTGACGGATATTTGTAATGCCTCTTTTCAACAAGGAATATTTCCTAGTATGTTTAAACTATCTATTGTAATTCCTTTATAAATGAAAAAAACATTGTATGGTATATTGTATGATATATTTTTCATGTATTTTTGATATATATTGTATAATAAAAACATTGTATGATATTTTGTATGATATATTTTTCAACAACTTTTTATGTAAGTAGTAAAAAACCAACTTCTTCTTGTATATTTAAATTTTAACTTTCTTGTTTTTAATATTGGTATTTTTACTCTCTCTTTTAGTAAACTGATGATGGAATGATGCAATTCCGAAAAGATCTTCTTTAAAATAAAAATTTTAAGCTTTTAATAAGCGCTTTTTTTATACCTTAATACACACGAACACCACGTGCTTTGTATTCAACAGGTATACTAGCCACTCCTGGATATCTCCACTTCATGGTTTGTTCCAGTTTCACTTTTAAAAATTTAAGATTTATGACTGTATTTTTGACTTGTCTCATACATATACTTTGTATAATGTCGCATGTGATCAATAAATTTGACTTGACTTGACTTGACATTGCCAGCTTCAATCGGGTCGGTTAGTTCTTGTTCTACTTTAACTTTTATTGTGTTGTTTTGGTAGATATTTTCGATCGTTTTGATTATTCCTGGAGGTATCTCTCTATACATATTTGCTGATGAAACAATTTGTATAGGCCCTAGACCAGAATCGTCCTTGTTTTGAATACTTGTCCACCAAATTCCCTGCACTCACTAAAGAAAAATTGAATGCCGGAATATTTGATGGCCTCAGATACGACAACTTGACTGCAATTGAATGTAATACATGGTGCTCTTTTGTGAGTTGTGGAAAATTTTTTTGGAAACCATAAATCGCCAAAAATAGCCGGGATATAGTGGCAGAAATGCTCAACAATTTTAACAAACACGGTTGTTATATGAGTATTAAAATTCATTACCTCTACAGCCACTTTACACTTTACAGACCGTTTTAGATAAAATCTTAGTGACCTTAGTGAGAAACAAGAGGAAAGCCACCAAGATATCTTCCAAGATATTCCGTATATTTTGTATGTCAGATAATTTCAATATATTATATCTGTCAGTTTATCTGTTCAATTTTCTTTCCTATGTGACGCTAGAATTTTAATTATTTTGTATTAAATCGTACTTTAAATATACTAATAATATTATTTGTTATTTAATTTATGCGAAATTATTATTTTTTGTATTAACAATTAAACGGATCGGTTAAAAAACAAAATATGATTAACTTATAGGTTGAAATGTCAGTAATTCAGATTTCTTTGTTCAGATGACGTTAGGATTTTAAGTCTAAACTAAAATGAAGCTTTAAATTATTTTGTATTAAATTTCTATCTTAAAAATTAATTATTAATTATATTATTATGTAATTATTTATCTAAACGTATCGTTTCAATAACAAAATATGAGTCAATGGTGGTAGTTCAGATCTCTTTCCTAGATGGCGTCGTCAGCTTACTAGACAAACGGTGTGACTTGTCATCATAGCCTTTTATATAGATGATATATATTATATTTTATATTTGTACAGTCTTACTTACGCTGCTAACGTTGTTTTAGGTACAAATTTAGAAATGGAGACGTTGCTCTTAGAGAAGGTTGTGACGATGATTGCAAAAAAGATTTATTATGTAGAATGGTAAAAACTGAATATGGTGACGATCAAGTATGTGAAAAAGTAAAGGAACTGTATGATCGCAATGAAGGCGTCAAAGTATTATCTACATAACTAGAAACTTTCAGGCTTCAGGCATCTTTTTTGTAATATTTTTGTAATAAAACAAGATTTTTTCAATATATTTTAATGTTTTAATTTATATATGAATATTTAACTGCCCACTGTTTAAGGTTCTAACACATTAAGATATCGTTTCTCTTAGTTACTAGAAAATATCCTTTTAATTTGTTTGTTATTAATACAACAGTGCAATTTTGATTCTAATTCAAATAATAGTCGGTATTACTATAATTATGAAACAATTAGTTTAATAAACAATCTGTAGAAATATCAGAAATATATCTGTTCACTAACCTTACGATTATAACCCGAAAAATAAATTTGAACTTCTACCAAATAGGCTACATGTTGTACAGGATATGGAACAAACAACCATTTGTAATCAAATATCTAACGTGATGATAGAAAAATTTCTCAATTCCAATAAACTCTAATCATTAATTTCCACTGATTTGCGCTTAAAGTTATTTAACAATGGAACTTGGGAATTGTGAAAGTGCTAAATAGTTGACCACAATAAGTCGACTAGAGATGTTCCCAATTGGTTTACAGTCTCTAGAAATATATTGATCTACAGTATTTATTCGTACTATTTGTCGAAGATGTTGCCCGATTATGAAATAACTTGGTAGGAACTTAAAAACAGTGGTTCAAACAGTAAGTCTGGAAATAAGCTTTAATAAAAAAAATGGAAAACTTGGTAAGAATGTGTATGAGAACGTTAATCTGAAATCTGGAAAAGATAAAATTAGTATGGAGTAGAAAAGGAGCAGCAATTATGAATTCATTCGTAACTCTACAGGATACTTAAAACATTATCAGACATGTACGAGCTAACCGGATCAGATTGGCAGATCATGTGTTAAGAGCAGAGAAAAACAAAGTACTAAAGAAAGTGTTTTTTGAGAGACCAGAGATAGAAGATCAGTACTTCGTCCCAGAAAAAAGGTTCTTGAACTCCTAAGTGGAGCATAGAGCTTCAGTGAAAACGCGCCATCGGGTTCTATTTTGCGCTAAGGCCTTCACCTCATTCCAAGACTTTCCTTGTTTTCTTATCTCGTCCATGATGGATATTCTCCAAGTTTGTACTGGGCGACCTTTTTTTCGTTTTCCTTGGGGATTCCACTCTAGGGCAGTCTTTGCAATACTGGAGTTATTTTTTCGGAGTGTGTGACCGATCCAACCCCACTTTCTGGACTTTATTTCATTTACTACCCCCTTTTGTTTGGTCAGGTGTAGTAAATCTTCGTTTCTGATGATGTTAGGCCATAAAATACGAACAATTCTTCGTAGACATTTATTAACAAAGACCTGCAGTTTGTCTGTACGGGCTTTTGTCGCTTTCCAGGTTTCACATCCGTAAAGTAGTACAGACATGACATTTGACTGGAATATGCGGATCTTTGTCCTCGTGGTGTAGTCTCCAGACCTCCAAGCAGGGTTGAGCATGCTGAAAGCTTGTTGCGCTTTTCGTATCCTCATACGAATATCGTCTTCTGTACCTCCGCTTTCTGTTATGACACTTCCAAGATACGTAAAGTTTTCCACATTTTCAATGTGCATGTTATTAATGGTGAATAGCGTGTTGTTTCTTGCATTTATTCTCATGGATTTGGTTTTATCAATATTGATTTTCAAACCTATTTTATTGGCTTCAGTGGAAAGTGTTTCCAATTGGTCAGCCACATCTTGGAACCTTTGTCCTAACAGGCAGATATCGTCGGCGTATTCTAGATCGCTTAGGCGTGTGGTTAACGTCCATTGTATCCCTCTTGTGTCAGAGTCTAGTTTGGAGAGAACATAGTCTAGAGCTATGTTAAAAAGAAACGGAGAAAGCACGCATTCCTGTCTGACTCCAGTAAGTACGTCAAATTCGTCACTGTTTATCCCATTGTGTGTCACGCTGCATTTCGCTTCAGTGTACAGAAACTTTATAATGGAAATTATTTTATGCGGGATGTTTCTTAGCTCTAAAATTTTCCATATCGCATCATGAGATAAGCTGTCAAAAGCACGCTCGAAATCAACAAAAACCATGTATAGGGGTGTGTTCCGTTCAACCGATTGTTCCATTATTAGCCTTACAGTATTAATGTGGTCTATGCAGGAGGATTCTGGTCTAAAGCCTACTTGATTAGCTCGAAATTCAACCTTGTTTGTTAATCTTTTAAGTATGATGGTCGTGAAGATTTTATTTATGGCGGTAAGCAAGGTTATTCCTCCGTGTGGTAAAGCCAGCCAAGAAAAAGATAAAAATTAATAGAGGTAATTGAATTTGCCAAATCCAGAGAAGAATATATCTCTGTTGGTCAGCATAATAAATAATCTAATAATGTAATATTGTCGCACATTTTTGACGCGACATTGTCGCACACTGAAAAAGAAGATACGTAGTGGATCATATAAATACCTTAAAAACGTCTTTCTATGACTCAGCGATTTCAGTAAAGAATGAAATACATTATGCATTGAGCGTTATATAATATTGCATAATATCCGATGAAAAACTAGGCTGTTTTTTTAACACCATACATTTCGTTTATTTGTTGTTCCTTTAGTCACTTTTAATCAACATTTTTAAAATTATCAACGTTTTTTATACTGTTTATAAACCTGAATAATTATAATTTGATTAAAACAATTCCGGTTAAATATATGATCTGTATTAAAGACCGAAAAAAAAACAATAAAATATTGATTTGCGTGAAGCGAAATGAGTTAAGCCGCGAGTTCAAGGCTTATAGTGCGCTGAAGTGGCTTACCTTCTACTGCCGAGATCGGAAGAGAATTATTTCTGTTGATGAATACCTACACTTAATATTGGACGCAAGAATTTCGATGATGAATATAATAAAACCGTATTTACAGCTGTAAATATTTTAACTTATCATTTTTAGTAATTATTTTTTAAACTTAAAAATTAGTTTTATAAATTACTATTCTAATTGTCTGTCAATTACGCACGTAGATTTGTCCATCACATTATATTTTTGATTAGTTTTAACCTCACTAAAATTATCCAGGTTTGTTGACTTTAAAAATCTCAAAATGGTCTTCCAATTGTTGAGAATTTCATGGGTACAAAGAGTTACTAATGGTGAGGTACTTCGTCGAATGGGTAAACAAAGGGAATTACTAAGAATAATCAAAGAGAGGAAAAATTCAGTACTTAGGCCATGTGTTGAGAGGCGAAAAATATGAATTACTTCAAGTTATACTAAAAGGAAAAGTATAGGTCAAAAGATCAGTAGGGAGACCTCAGAACTCATTTCTAAAAGACCTGAGGAGATGGTTCGACCGCTCATTCGCAGAAATCTTTTGTGCAGAAGTTTCCAAAAGCACAATTGTCATTTGGATCATCAACCTTTGAAAGGAGACGGTGGCATGAGAAGAAGAAATGGTCTTCAAATACCATTCTACTAGAATAATGGACTCTTCACAATGGTCTTATATATTCCATGTCTACTGTGAATAGTAAATGTTCTATAAATATATAAACGGTTTTACCACAGGAGTGGTTAGTCCAATTTTCAAACATGGACATCAACTTTTGATGGATAACTATGTTGTAAAATTATTAAAAAATGTTAAATAAATAAGGCGTTAGACAACGATTTATACTTTCATCTATACTATTGAACCCATATTCAGAGGAAATATTTAAGGAAGCCTTGGAAAATTGCAAACATGGTATCCTTTTAAATGGAAAACGCCTAAACAACATCCGCTATGCAGTTGACATCGTTATTTTTGCAGACAGTTTAAACAGTTTACAGCAACTAATAAACAAAGTTATTGCAGTAAGTGAAAGATTTGGACTACAAGTAAACATATTAAAAACTAAATTTATGGTCATCAGCAAAAATAAAACAATAGTAAACGAACAATGGGATCACTCACAAGAAGTAAAATGTAGAATAGAGAAGGCTAGGAGTACATTCAACAACATGACGAAATTCTTTAAAAGCCACAACCTTAATCTGGAGTAAGGCTCCCACAATGTTATATCTTCTTGATATTATACGACGGAGTTGTTTCCTGGACACTCACTGTAGCGATGAAGAAAAAACTTGAAGCCTTCGAGATGAAAAAACTTGAAGCCTTCGGGTACAAGATAACCAACGAGACTGTATTTCGAAGAATGGGAAAAAGAAGAGAGGTGATGTATACCATTAAAAGGACAAAGTTGAAATATCTCGGATATATAATGAAAAACGACACTAAATACAGATTACTAAAAATAATCCTTCAATGCAAAGTATTCGGAAAGCGAAGAATTGGGAGAAGAAGAATATCATTGTTAAAAAACCTGAGGAAATTGATATCATTAGTACAAGTACAACGAACTTTTTCCTGTGAGTGGGTTTACTCCCGCGAATGGGTTTATTCCGAACTGAGAAATTATTGGATAAAGATATGAGGAATTTACTCCAGTTTACTAGAAAAATTAGAGAGTAAAAAAATTGGAGGGAGTCAAAAAAAAATTGAGTAGGCAATTGAGTGACCGTAAATGGCAGATGGTTGAATTCCCGTTGTATAACGACGGGCAAAATGAGTATAAAAATAGTAATTATTTTTTCAAAGTTTCAAATTTAAAATTAAAGTTATAATCACCTCTAAATATCTTCTTAATCAGCCTCGGTTATCCTTGTATTTGTGAAATTGCATATAGATATTATAATTTCAAATTCTTGTAATTTCCATATAATATACTATACTCCTGTATTGAATTATCTATATTGAATTAATTTACTCTCATACTCCCCAACTGTATCTGACTTAATGAATTCTTCTAAGTTAATCCTTTTTTCTAACTTAATTTAATTATAACTGTCTTGAACTAACTTTCTTGATGAATCTCATTTAATGACTTAATTGTAACTGACTGAAAGACTTCATCTCACTTAATCCTTTCTTCTAACTTAATTTAACTTAATCACTGTATGAATTCTTCTAACTTAATTTAACTTAATCACTTCATGAATTCTTCTAACTTAATCAATTGTAACTGA